ATCGATCTTATTTTCTGTGTTTAGTTACATTATGTTTATTCTAACTCTCCTGTTTCCTCTGGTCTATAACTAGGTGGGGGGAAAGAATTAATGGCATGATTATAATTAAGTCACAAACTGCAGAACTTGTTGGAATGCTATTACTATGATAATCGGCTCTTGCACATTAAGCATGAAATCTCACATTACACACTTTTCTCACACTCACATCACACAGGTGCCTTTATCTTTCTTTAAAGGAATAGAGAGGGGGGGGGAAATTAAATCCTCTTGATGTTATTTTTTCAGATTCAAAGCTCCAGAGTGGACCAGATCATGGAGATCCTGAGAAGAGTCAAGAGCAGTTACTACTCTGCCTTTAAGGATGTCTGCGTCAAAGTCAATGAGGGTAGATTACCATTAGTTGTCATCTAAATGCTAATTAATTCATTTTCTCGTTCTGTCATTTCATCTCATCTTCTCAATTTGTTTTACTCAAGATGTAAATGGAGCCCTCATTATGTTAATATGTTCAGCATACTTCATGCATAGAGATTTAGAGACATTAACATGACATGTCCCTGTTTTTTGTGCGCATGTTTTTGAGTCGTCATGCTCACTTAACAATTGTCGTCACATTGACAATAACATAAAACCAATTGCTAAAACAAGCAATCATAGAACTGTTGGAGCTTAACCCCCAATTACATTTATGTAATCCATTTCTTCTGCTGGACATGTTATTATAGCTGTGCTGGAAGCAGAGGACATAGATCTGTATCTACGACCTCTTAGGAGACAAATCAGCGGCTTAGAGGAGAGGAGTTTTCAACAGGTGGAAACTCTGTTGTCTCCTCTTTTTCACACTCTATGCCTCATATGGAGTCATTCCAAGTACTACTGTACACCACAGCGCATGGTGGTCCTGCTACAGGAATTCTGCAACCTTATCATTGAAAAGGTCAGTTGATAGATGTCTGTTAGTGTTTCAAAGAGAAGAAATTAAACTGTTTCAACACCTAATGGTTATGAGGTATCTGCATACAGGCCTTTGCGTACCTCATCCCTGAAGAACTGTTCAAGATGGAGCTTGAGGAAGGGATGGAGAGAGTACAGATAAGCATCCATGTGCTACACACCTTCAAACAGTTGTTTCACACCTACCGTCATCGGATACCTAATTACTACAAAAACAGCCAGAACATCAAGCTGTGGGACTTTCCAGCGGCACTTGTGTTTAAACGTTCAGACTGTATCATGGAAAGGCTTCTCATGATAGAGGTGTGTGGGTCAACAATATTTGGTTTTCAGTCATACAAAGACCAGAAGACCAGAACGATTAAAACTATCATTAATCAATTTAAGTCAGTTTAATGCATCAAGTAAACCTCCCTTTTTTAGTTATTGTGATGTTATTTGTCATTATTGATCATGTACATATCAAAGCTGCCACTTCTCAGTGGATTTAATATTTTCCTGTTCCCTTCTTCCCACCACTGGTGTCTCTCTCTTTTATAGGAACTATTTGCAACAGCACTAGACTTTCTGAAGCTGGAGAAGGTTGAATTAGGTGGATCCAGAGGAAAGATTCTCAGTGAGATGGTCTTCAGCATGAGTGAGGAGTTTCATGACTGCTGGCGGACCCTGAGAGAGAGCAAATATGACCCTTTGGACTACACCACTGATGTGAGACATTGTGAAATTACCCCTGCCGTCTTTGATGTCACAGCTCTATTTATGTAATAAGCTCCTAAGGGTTCTAATTCACAGTAATTCATAGCCATCATTGTCAGGAACAGCCAAATAATCAAAAATAACAATTAGATGGGTTTTTTCGGTCCAGCAGTATAGTAATTGAAAGGCTGAAAAGCAAACTAGTTGCCAAGCAACACACCGGAGTCATTACTGGTTGGTGTAACAATATTTAATTTCCTAGATATAAGTATTATATCGAACAGTGTGAATCAGAACAAGCTCAATATTCAAAATAAATTTGTGTCATAATACCTTTTCCTGGGGTAGGTGTTATTCCAGCTGTTTCTAATTAACTGCGCATGGGGGAAAAAATTAAGGTCTGCTTTGAAATGCTGATGAAATGAAAATAGTATGAAAGTATAATTGAAGTTCAAAGCTTTTTTAGCATGGTATTTGGAAGGGAGGATAGCCCTTATTTCCTACCCTTTGCTTCTTGTGTGTTCAGGATTTTTTGCGTCACTATAGACATTTTGTGGAGCAGAATAGAGACTTTGACCAAAGGCTGGCAACCATCCTCAATTTGGCTTTTCACCACTCCAAGAACCTGAAGTCAGCCTTTAAGGTGTGTCTGCTCTGATACCTAAGGCGACCCCATTTCCATTATTGGTGATATAAAGTGCACAACATTCAGTGTGTTGGCTCGCTGTATATCATTATCTCTTCTCAGCAACATTTACTCATTAGTGGGAATTTTATTTGACTGTCTTATTATTACTCTCTTATTGTCTAAATCATCTCCTTTGTTTTGCGTCCCATTTAGCTGTTAAAGATTTTTGGCACCCTTCTTGAGAGACCCAGAATCCACCAGCTGTTTTCTCCAAATTATAATGTGTTGCTGGCCATGTTCAACCAGGAAATTGATGACTGTCAGTTTATACTCGATCAACACAGGGATGGGGTAAGAAAGGTTTCTATCATCTATGATGATAGAAGAAAATGATAAAATTGCCAAATTAATTAAGGTCTGTGTTTCAGCTGCAGGCTGGATGTGCAGTCTTAGGAAAAAGTATGCCGCCAGTTGCAGGTAACCTGAAATGGTCACAGGAGCTTCGGTATCGCATTCTCACCAACAGGAGCAACCTCTGTGTGCTGGCATATGCGTATGGACCATCTCTACTCCTAATGCACACAGACAAACAAACTGACATGAATAATCTCATAATGGTCCGATACTGTGCCCTGATGTTTAAAGACATGTACCTGCCCTGACGTGAAGACTGTTTATAGCCTCAAAAGGATTTGTTTAAACTATTCATATTGTATAATCCAGCATGAACACTATACACACTATAAATGTTTTGAACTGTTTTCTAGACCATTGGACTGTTCTGAGGCAGACGAAGTGCTTCAGAGGTGTGAACATGTTATCAAGACTTTGGACAGACTCGATGAGGACATGTTCCTGCAGTGGACTGAGGGGTTGGAGGAAATCTGCCAAACTCACCTCAAGGAGCCTCTATTGAAACTGGATATTGACACAGGCCTCTTCGAGGTCAACTTCAGTCCTGCTGTAAGGACAACCTTATTACTTGCATCACTATTTACTGTATGATCACAAATGTTGATGTGGACTATTATCAACAAATAACAAGGACACCTGAGGAATTTATATGTCTCCTTTCTCTTGCTCTCCGCAGCTGACATCAATATTAAGAGAGGTGAAGTATTTAGGACAACTGAAGGCCCAAAACATTCCTCCAGCAGCTATTCATCTCTATTCTAAACGAGAGAGTCTATACACGGTGGGTAATGAGTCCTCCTGGAGTAGGATTAGACATAGCGTTCAATAGCTATGTATGTCTAAATGAAACATGTGAAGACATGATCTGTGTTAAAGCTGCTCTCCGTCATATAGAACACACAGACACTGACTTTGGTGACTCAATGGTACAACAAGCTCCAGAGCACCATTTTAGCTGTAGAGTTGGGATTAGTCAAAGATGAGATGAATGGGATGAGGCAACAACTAGAACCAGCCCTCCAGGAGCTGACCTGGGCTCAAGATGATCTTTGGGACTATATTAAGAGCACACGAGAACTGGTCAAGGTACAAGAGACTTCTTATGATATTTTACAGAATTGTTTTCAATTACGATTTTTGGTTTGGTACATAAGAAAAAGCTAATCCTAACCCTGATTTCCTGTTTGTTTGATTCTTGCATGTTCCCTATTATGTACAAATTGCATAACTGCATTACTTCCTTAATATAGGAACCAAAATCCAGACACACTATGATACTGTTGACCAGGAAATGCAAATATGTGACAATTTAGTTATTTCTGCTTGTTTCTGCCAGAGCATTTCTAGTCGTGTCCAGAAGAGTAAAGCTAATGTGGAAGCCATTCAGGCCTTCATGGGAAAATACAGCAACAGGGCTTTCATAATCAGAAAGAGCCGTGATTCTACACTTCTCATCTTCTCTGACATCGAGGAGAGTGTTTCTAAACAGCATGTCCTCATTAGTAATACAGGGGAACAGATTCACAAACTACTGAAGGTATGCTTACATTGGTGCGGAACAGATTCATTTTCCATTTCCTACCAATGATTATTTCGGGTTTCATTTGCCATCTGACATCGTATTTCCACTGTGCTGCAGGAGAATCAGTCTCTATTGGGTATGACAGATCCAGACAGCAGTGAATGGCAGGCCTACACAGAATACATTGACCATATGATCCTGACGGGCTTCAGCAGTGCAGTGCGCTGCTCCCTGCAGTACCTGATGGACAACACAGATGTAAACCAGCGTATAACGCCACTATTTGAGATCCAGCTTGTACTCAACAGCAGCGAAATGACCTTTGATCCCTCACTGGACCTAAGCCAAAGCGGAAACTTCTACGACATTGTGGATAAAATGGTGGCAAGCATCACCAGGATGGCATCTTTTATTCCCAGAGTGGCACCACACAAAGAGCTGAATAATTATCAGGTGCTGCGCATATTAGATTACATGCACAAATGTATAAACATGTTTGCTTGTACATAGCCTTTGTCATACACGTTCTTGGTTTCTTATCTTGTAGTCTGACATAAACGAAATTAAAGATTTGTCAGAGATGTGCCACATCATCCGCTCCCGGGCACGTGCTGCAGTCACTAAGTTAAGTGTCTGTCTTTTTGTCTTCTCACTGATTGAGAGGCCAGTTCATATTTTCTGCCAGTGTATAAATGTGAATGTTGTCTTGGTTTTTAGGTGAAGGAATACCAGGCTTCATTTTCAAGCTACCGTTATCTGTGGACGGACGACAGGTCAGATAAGCTTCATATAACTGATCTTGTAATATCAAATTTTCTCTTTGCAGAATTCAATAATAGAGATTTTTTACACTTTCACAGATCTGAATTTATGAGGCAGTTCCTGCTTTATGGACACGTCCTAAGCACAGAGGAAGCCGAGCTCTATGCTGACTATGAACTGAAAAAGAATCCACCCACCCTTGACAACTTTAAAGATCAAGTGTGTTCTGCTTTTGTAGTTCATTTATCCTTTAACCTTGATTAATTTAACCAACCTGTGAACAACTTCTACTGTATAATCACTATGTCCTTAATCCAGATCAATTTATTTGAGTCACTGTATATGCGAGTAAGCAAGATGGAGGACAAGACAGTGTTTCGTGGCTGGCTGCAGCTAGACATCAGACCATTTAAGCACACACTGATGAACATCATCAAAAAGTGGAGCTGGATGTTCAAAGAGCACCTTCTCAACCATGTAAACCAGAGGTTTGGAAGGAATTTTTTTTTCCCAAATGTGTATAGTTTGCAGCAACTACATGGGAAAAATATATTTTTATATGTGAAAAAACATTGTAACCATAATATAAACTTCTTGATTAATATCATTAGGGAGCTATTTATGAGTTACTACCTGTAATATCAAATTACCTTGTCATATCCATTATCTCTTTACAATCCCACAGTGTTAAGGAATTATCCCAATTTATCCAAGACACAGCAGCTGGTCTTTCTACAAAGGTGACAGGTGGGGATTATGCAGGGCTTGTAAATATAATGGGACACCTCATGGCCATAAGAGACAGACAGATCAGCAACGAACAGCACTTCAAACCGCTCAAGTCAACGGCTGAACTCCTCAAGACCTATGGACAGCAACTTCCAGACAGTGTCTACACCCAGCTCGAAGTGTGTAACAATGCCATAAACAGAAGCTGTTTTCTAATGCTCTCGGCGCATTAAATTGTCTGCTTCTGTGCCACAAATCACAGGAACTGCCCGAAAAGTGGAAAAGTCTCAGAAAAATCGCCTTCACAGTCAAACACGAAGTAGCACCACTGCAGTCAAATGAGGTTTCCGTCATACGCCGAAAATGTGTCCGGTTTGAGGTGAGGCTGAGTGTGAGGAGTGTACGATGTCACTCTGCCACACGCTAGCAAATAGCTTGATATCTGATATACAGACCTTCTTGATTACTTTCCTGCATTATATATGACCCGTCACCCCTTCAGTGCCTGCACAGGAGTACATTTAGGGCATGGGAAGGTGCACGCATTCAAAGTTTCTTTTTTTTTCACATTTCAGGTCAAACAACATGAGTTCAGAGAACAATTCCGCACTGAAGCAATCTTTAAGATCAATATAGAGGACCCATATAAACTAATTGACAAGGTAGGTTGTGGAAGAGGTTTTTTGTGGCCTTAAAATATCATAGTTATTCCAGTCCATGCTGTATCATTAAGAAAAATCCATACAACAAAACAACTATAGCCACAGATCAAACTGTCTGTCTCCAGTGTAATCGATCTGTAGCAGTGATGGAGATGGAGATGAAAAAGTTGCAGGACACTGCGGATCTGTTTGAGGTCAGCTTCCCAGAGTACAAGCAGCTTCGACGGTGTCGCTTTGATGTCGTACTCGTCAAAGCAGTCTGGGACATGGTCATCTTTGTTAAGGTAAACACTAATCCAGGTCAGCGCTTCCAGGTTATGAGCTGAATTCAGATTATCTATAAAAGTAAAGGTATCCCCTTTGCTTTGTATTTCTTGTATTTTTTTGTTGCGTCAATGAAACTTAATGAAGTTGTCTCTGTTTATCCTAGACCAGTATAGAGGATTGGACCAAAACTCCATGGAAAGAAATCAACGTTGAGCAGATGGATATGGAGCTACGGCGTTTTGCTAAAGTATGAGAAGCCTAATTTTTGTCAAAACTGGATGTTTTCATATCAAACTGTGGTTTTAAATGTATAGGGTCATCATAGCAAGAATATATCTGTTCTGTGTTTAAGGAAATGAAGATGCTAGATAAGGAGGTGCGTGCTTGGGATGTCTATACAGGCTTGGAATCAACTGTGAAAAACCTGCTGACTTCTCTAAGAGCCGTCAATGAGCTGCAAAACTCTGCCGTCAGGGAGAGACACTGGCAACAACTTATGAACACCACAGGGGTTTGAGAAAATATATCTCTCATGATATGCAGTGCTCCTGTACTCGAAATGCATCCATGTACTATGAAATCTGATCAAAACCATAGCATAGAATGTATTGTTTTGCATCAACAGGTCAGATTTGTGATGGGACAGGACACCACCTTGGGGGACCTGTTAGAATTACAGCTTCATCGTGTAGAGGACGAGGTCAAAAACATTGTGGACAAGGCTGTGAAAGAAATGGCAATTGAGAAGGTTGGTGCTCAGCATATTCATTTATTAGTCATTTGGGTCTATTTATCCAAACAGAGTATCATTTTCAACCATTCTAACAATCTAAGAAAACAGATTAAATTACTTAAACTCATTAATAGAAGTTTTATTTTAATCTCCTTTGACATTTACTTGCACAGGTTTTGGCTGAAATAACACAGACCTGGAGTGTTATGTCACTGTCATACGAGACACATAGCAGCACAGGAACCCCTCTGCTCAAAGCTGATGAGAATTTAATTGAGACACTAGAAGACAACCAGGTGACCAGCATGTGGCATTCTTTATATAACCTGTTCATAAGACAAACCCTTCCCCAATGTGTGATAACAGCATTAGGTGTAAAATATTTTGGCTTATTTTTTACCTGTAAACTATTGTGTAACCATGTATTACTTGTGTTTTTATTGGTCTTTAGATGCAGCTGCAGAACATTTTAATGAGCAAGTATGTGGAGTATTTCCAGACAGAAGTGAGTGGCTGGCAGAGGAAGCTGATGGTGGCTGACCTGGTCATTTCTACCTGGATGTCAGTCCAGAGGACCTGGGCCCATCTTAATAGCATCTTCACCAACAGCCATGACATCCGCTGCCAGCTGGCCTATGACGCCGAGCGCTTTCAGGGCATACACGCTGACTTTCAGGTGCAAAGACTTTTATCTCATTGTATATCTCAACACATTCTAAAAATGTTGAATTAACTTTTTTTTCATTTCCACTCAGAGTTTGATGACTGAGGTAGTGAAGAACAGCAATGTAGTTGACGTCACTAACCATTCAGGCTTCCTTGAAAGCCTGGAAACCTTACAGCAGAGGCTGTCTGTGTGCGAGAAGGCCCTAGCTGAGTATTTGGAGACCAAGAGACTCACATTCCCTAGATTTTATTTTGTCTCTGCCTCAGATCTGCTAGAGATTGTTTCCAAAGGAACACAGCCCAAACAGGTAACAGATCACAAATCAAATGATCAGAGTGGTGCATTTTTTCCAATCGTGTTTCAGTGTAGTGTATCAAATTAACCAAGCTAGGGATGACAGTAGAGTTAGAGTTTGAGACAGACTTATTGATTGTATGTGTGTGGTTTTCCAGGTGACCAGACACTTGCTGAAGCTTTTTGACAACATTGCAGATCTACACTTCAAGGACTCAGACAGGGGCAGTGGAGGGGAGGAGGATGGGGTGGCAGTTGCCATAGGGATGTACAGTCGCGAGGGAGAATATGTTGCTTTCTCAGAACCCTGTGGCTGTGAAGGACAGGTACTGAAAGTTAAACTCAGTTGCTGCTGTTTTCACAGTGTGGTAAAGCTTTCTCCGCATTGCTTGTAGACCACTGTATGGACATTGCTGACGGGGGTTTTGTCAGCATTCTAATGTGTAGTGTCTTACAACATTGTGTGTCTTATTCCAGGCAGAGTGTTGGTTGAGTGCCTTAGAGAACACCATGCGTTGCACAGTCCGAAAAGAGATACAGGAGGCTGTAGCTGCGTATGAGGACAAACCACGAGACCAGTGGCTCTTTGACTACCCTGCACAGGTTTGATAATGGATTAGTTTTATAGTGAAATGCAAAATAAAATATTTATGGGTTCTTTACCTTAACAGGTTGGGTTAACTGGCAGTCAGGTGTGGTGGGCCACTGATGTAGGTATTGCCTTTGAGAGGGTGGAGGAAGGATTTGAGACTGCCCTCAAAGACTACAACAAAAAACAGGTAGCACTGCCAAAGAAGGGTTTGTTAAGCTAGTTTGCGTAAATAGTGCCTGTCTTTTTTTATAGAACATTTTGGGTTTTCAGATCACACAGCTCAACTCTCTGATCCACATGCTGCTCGGAGACCTAACTCCAGGAGACAGACAAAAAATTATGACTATCTGCACTATTGATGTTCATGCTCGAGACGTGGTTGCTAATCTCATATCTCAAAAGGTAGTTTGGAATGTTTTTTCAGTGACCCTCATTGATGTTATTTGACCCTTCTGTTGGTGTTACTTTGTGCCCCCGCTAGGTGACGACAGGACAGGCATTTGCATGGCTGTCTCAGTTACGCCATCGCTGGGATGAAGAAACAAGACACTGTTATGTTAACATCTGTGATGCCCAGTTTCAGTTCAGCTACGAATACCTTGGAAACACTAACAGACTGGTCATCACCCCACTGACAGATAGGTACAGATAAAGGCTTCAGCATATTCTACACGAATACTGAGAGTGTAAACATTAATATTGGTAGATATCTTAAAGAGAACTCTTTTTAAATTGGGAAAAAGCCAACATTAATAATGGACTCCCTTTGCCAAGCAACAACAAACAAAGCTACTCAAAGTGCTTAACATGTACTCTAAGTGCTCAGCCAAGTTGTGTAGTGCTTAGAAGTGGGAGCCACCCACGCAAATGTAAAATGCAAGTCTAAAAGGAGGGAAAACAAGTGCTCACTGTCTCTGTCTATGATCAATTAAAAGAAAAAGCACAAACATCCCATTTTTCCCATCCTTTACATACACCCACATACACTTTTAGTTTAAAATAACGTTAAATCTACATTGTTGTCTCACCGTTCTTCTTGTCTGATTTTCAATTCTCACCCTACCCCTGTCAGGTGTTACATAACTCTGACCCAGTCCCTTCATCTGACAATGAGTGGTGCCCCATCAGGTCCAGCTGGGACAGGTAAAACAGAGACTACTAAGGACCTTGGACGCTCCCTCGGCATCATGGTATACGTGTTCAACTGCTCAGAACAAATGGACTACAAGGTAACGTGGATTGCAGAGACTTGTCTTCCTATGCTATTGTATTTCCAAAACTTTTCTTTTCATCGTTCTCCTTCCATAGTCTATAGGTAACATCTACAAGGGTCTGGCTCAGACAGGAGTGTGGGGTTGCTTCGATGAGTTCAATCGGATCTCGGTGGACGTTCTGTCTGTGGTTGCTGTGCAGGTCAAGACTATACAAGATGCTGTGCGCAACAAAAAACAGAGGTATGGCTCCATTGGTATACCCTGCCTATTAGCTTATAAGCTGATTTACGTGACTTTCCTCCATACACCCTTTACACAATCTGCTTTAACTACTGTGCGAATTTAGGTTTCATTTTCTGGGAGAAGAAATTGAACTGAAGCCAACAGTGGGGATATTTATCACTCTAAACCCAGGATATGCTGGCAGGGCTGAACTTCCAGAGAATCTAAAGGCTCTATTCAGGTATGATTTCTTGAGAGAAAGATTAGACTTTTTATGTCTATTAACATCCTGTTTACTGTCCATTTTGCTTCAAATTCAGGCCCTGTGCAATGGTTATCCCAGACTTTGAGCTCATCTGTGAAATCATGTTAGTGGCTGAGGGATTCATTGATGCACGTCTATTAGCACGCAAGTTCATAAGTCTCTACACCCTCTGTAAGGAGCTGCTGTCCAAACAGGTGCAAACATAAAGGCAAACTGTTCCCTGCATTCTTCTAGGATGAAATAATGTTCTAGAGTGTAGGTGGATGGTAAAGAGAAGAAATTGAGACAAGAAAAAACTTTACTGGCTGGAAAAATAACTAATTGAGGTTTACCTTTATCATGTTTAACCTGCAAAGAAAATACATTAGGTGTGCACAACGAATCCTCAGATTTTTAAAAAGATGCCTTTCAATTTTATCAGATGTCAACTCTTTTCTGCTTGTGAAGGCTAAACATGATAATCTTGGTAAATACAATGCATTACAAAAACTTTTTTTAAACGGTACTAGTATGGTCAAGATATATGGACAATAACAGTACAGTGTGGGGTTTTTTTTATATCCTTGTGACTGCAAAGCTACTATATGGCATTTTAATATATCCCACACAACACAAAACATAAGAATGATTGTGTTGTCAGTCATGGTAAGTGACTAACGCCAAAATGTTCCCATTATTTTTGTAGGATCATTATGACTGGGGTTTACGAGCAATCAAATCAGTCCTGGTTGTTGCTGGATCACTTAAGAGAGAGGAACGGAGCAGGCCCGAAGAACAAGTGGGTATCACTTTACTTTTAAAACAGTTACTTATTCTGGTCTGAGTTTGAGTGTCTTAATGCTTTTCCTTCTTGGCTTTAGAACTATGATGTCATCTCTCTCTTTCCAGGTGCTGATGCGGGCACTTAGGGACTTCAACCTGCCAAAGATTGTGACCAGTGATGTACCCATATTCCTTGGGTTGATCAGTGACCTGTTTCCTCAGCTGGATGTGCCCAGGAAGAGAGACCCAACACTGGAAAAATCTGTCCGCCAGTCAGTCAGTGAGCTGCGACTGCAGCCTGAGGAAAACTTCATTCTTAAGGTGCCTCTGTCTTTGGACTGCATTGAAGATTTAAAAGTCTTGATAACATTTGTTTTGTTTTCGTATTGTTGAAGAAGAATTGGCAGTAAAATGCCTTGATACAGTTTTTTGTTATGTGGTGTCAGTTTTAAAAGAAAACTAGATAGGATAAATCATCAAGTACAAGCCAAACTTGTGCTTGATGATATAATTAGCAAATTGTGAAGCAGTGATTCAAGGAATGTTTTCAGAAGTGGTAAATTGTGACACTATTTGTGTGTTGGCAGGTGACCCAGTTGGAGGAGCTGCTGGCTGTCAGACATTCTGTTTTTGTTGTGGGTGGACCAGGCACTGGAAAGAGTCAGGTTAATTTAACATCCACATCTATTAAGCTACATGCAAAAAATAAATATGCTCAGCGTGTGTCTGAACCTTTCCTTTCAATCTCCCAATCCACATATAAACTACCACAAAAAAGGGCCTCTGCTTTGAAAAATGTATGCGCTGTGTGTCGTCTGTTTATACTGTTTATTTTTCAGATATTGAAGACTCTTCACAGAACCTACGCAAATATGAAGATGAAAGCAGTATGGAATGACATTAACCCCAAAGCTGTTACCACAGATGAGCTGTTTGGATACCTGCACCCTGCTACCAGAGAGTGGAAAGATGGTGAGAGTTTGGAGATTATAGTGCACCTCTAATGAAGGATAAATACAAATTTAAGGGAAGCTTTTTTTCTTTAGATTTGGGGTTGGTTTTTCTAATTATTTTGAGGCCAAAGCCATAATTATCAAATGTGTTCTCAAACTTAAATTACATAAAAAATATAAAGCACCTTTATATGTTTTTGTTTTTGCTTGTTTTTCACATTATGTGTTTCTGCCATTCTGACTTGCTGATATAACAACAAAAAAAAAAACAAGCAAACTGATATATCTATACATGCTTTACTTCTCATTTAAGGTCTGTTCTCCTCCACCATGAGAGAATTGACTTCCATTGGCCATGATGGACCCAAATGGATTGTTCTGGATGGCGATATTGATCCAATGTGGATCGAGTCTCTCAACACTGTAATGGATGACAATAAAGTAAGAGTACCACTTTCTTACCATTATTTTTATATGTATTTCTGTCCTCATGTGGGATTAAGTATTTTTGCTTAACTATTGACATTTACCAGCCAAAGCCCAAACACGTATTGAAGCATCTGTTTTACTTCTCAGTATTAGTATCCTTTGGGTGCATTCTCTTGTATTCAATATAAATAAATTCAAGAGTTATGGTTTCAGATCCACTGTTTTTATTCCCCTGTCCCTCTGTGCAGGTTCTGACCCTTGCCAGCAATGAAAGGATCAGTTTGTCTTCGTCCATGCGCCTGCTCTTTGAGATCTCTCATCTGAGGGCTGCTACTCCAGCAACAGTGTCCAGGGCAGGAATACTCTACGTCAACCCACAGGACCTTGGCTGGAGCTCGTAAGACTCACTAAAGCTAACACCCAAAAATGCTAACACAAACTGAATGATACTCATTCAACCGTCTTATTTATCCTAAGATATGTGACCAGTTGGATTGACACTAGGCAGGCCCAGTCGGAGCGAGCTAACCTCACTATTTTGTTCGATAAGTATGTGCCATACTGCTTAGAACAGGTCCGCTGCAACTTGAAAACCATCACTCCTATTCCAGAAAGCAGCATGGTGCAGGTGGGATCTTCTGCATGTCACGTAGTTTAATTCACTACGTAACAAAAGTTCTCGTTGTCTGTTTGGTAAACCATAGTGTGTAAATGTAACCCAATCAGACACTATGCTCCCTCCTGGACTGCCTGTTGACGGAAGACAACACTCCAGCCGACTCTCCTCGAGAACTTTACGAGATCTACTTTGTCTTCGCCTGCGTCTGGGCTTTTGGAGGCGCTCTCTTTCAGGATCATGTATGTGTATGAGGCACCAATTCCTTCATGCTGCTGCATTTGCCACAGGCAATAACCAAACATTTTATATTGTTTAACCACTTTTTTTTTTTACCCAACTTCCATTTCAGCTGCACGACCACCGAGCCGAATTCAGCCGCTGGTGGTCCAAAGAGATGAGAGCAGTAAAGTTTCCTTCACAGGGAACTGTGTTTGACTATTTTATCGACTCAGAGACAAAGAAATTTACACCCTGGAGTGAGAAGATGTTGCCATTTGAACTAGAGCCAGATGTCCCACTGCAGGTGCATGATTTTAGTTGAATGTGTACTTGGTAGTAAAACACAAAAATCAATTCCTGAAAAATTCCTGAAAAGGATTATTTTTTCAGACACTGCTGGTTCACACTCCAGAAACCATCTGCCTCACCTATTTCATGGACCTGCTGCTCCAGAAAGGCAAACCTATAATGTTAGTAGGTATCGCAGGAGTGGGTAAAACCATCCTGGTGTCTGACAAAGTCGCCAAGCTGAAGGAGGACTACATGGTAGCAAAAGTACCCTTCAACTACTACACTACATCAGCCATGCTGCAACGTAAGAACCACCGTAACGAGTACAAATGCTTGAGGGATGATAGTGCTATGAGAGAATTTGCATTAACCCTTTGCTAGAAAATATGGTTTTACTTGTGTGAGTCCAGTTGAGAAAAACCTTGAGCTGTTCATTCCAAATTCCTTGTTCTCTAATTGTAGCTTATTTTACCCACTCTGCTTGGTTCATTTATTTTCATTTAGGATTAAATTAAATGTATGTACTATTGTATGAATACCAAAAGCAGCTAAATCTTTTTTTTTACTTTCTATTGTCTTCATTTATTGTGTGCCACTGACCAACTGTGTGGAAGACCTTTATTTTGATGCTGTTATACAGATTAGTCCTTGAAATATTATGCTGTATGATAAAAGGTCTTCTATGATTCATACTTGTTTTTTTTGTCTGTGAACAACTTCAGTAAACACTTTTGCATGCGTAATGTGAACCTCAGGTGTCCTGGAGAAACCTTTGGAGAAGAAAGCCGGCCGTAAATTTGCTCCTCCTACAGCTAAAAGGCTCATCTACTTCATAGATGACCTCAACATGCCTGAGGTGGATGTTTATGGGACTGTCCAGCCACACACACTCATACGACAGCACCTTGACTACAGCCACTGGTAAAGCTGATGAGACATGCACACACAATGCTGCTACTATCAGGATGTAAAGCTATAGAACCAAGCACCATTCACAGCTATATAATGGCTAGTTTGATCTGATTAAGATGGAATATTTTAGGTATGACAGACAAAGACTGGTTCTGAAGGAGATACACAACTGCCAGTATATCACCTGTATGAACCCGACAGCTGGAAGCTTTTCTATCAACCCCAGGCTACAGGTACAGTCAAGCATATGTATCCGAGAACAAGTCACTTGTTGACAGTGTACTGTGTTTAAAACAAATAGTTTTACCAACTACTACTGTAAATAACATCTGCCACCTTGATTTTAAAACACTGTTAAATTTTTTGGATGAGTAATGCTAAATAATTACTTCAATTTTCCTAAAAATATATGACGTTCATTTGATTCAAAAGAAGATGATTATAATTAGAAATATTCATAAAAGTACGCTTAGTGATTCGGAATGATTCCTGCCTCTTCCAGAGGCATTTCTCAGTGTTTGCAGTTCATTTCCCAAGTGCTGGTGCTTTAGCCACCATCTTCTCCAGCATCCTGTCAGCTCACTTCCTCCAGGGGGGATTCAGCTATGGGGTTTCACGCTCAGTTGGAACTCTCATACAGGTACACCAAATTTATCAGGGAAGTCCTTACTATTTTAAAAATCATGCAAATGCAAACATGATCCGTTTTACATTTTCGTTTTTGTTGGTGTTGGTTGTGATTTTTCAGGCAGCTATCTGCCTACACCAAAAGATAAGCCAGAACTTCCTCCCAACAGCCATACGCTTTCACTATATCTTCAACCTGCGAGACCTGTCCAACATATTCCAGGTGAAAGATATTGGAGCATCAGCCTAATTATTGATAAACATTCAGCTGCTTTTACCTCAAAATATTGCGGTGTATTTTATATTTTATAAGTAAGTCTGTTTGCATAGATTTCCCCTTTCTGGTTTCCTGATGTGTAGGGCATCCTGTTTGCCCTGCCAGAGAGTATCCGTTACCCCATGGACCTGGTTCACCTGTGGCTCCATGAGAGCTCCAGAGTGTACTCTGACAAACTAATGGAGGAGAAGGATGTGGAACTCTTCATCAAAATCCTGCTGGACACAGGCAAAAGATACTTTGAGGCAAGTGAGGGGCAACATTTTGTCGTGGCTTTATCTTTATAGGGCTCTAAAAAATGACAACATTAAACTATTTTCTGTTTTGTTTAACTCAATAACCCACTTTATACATCAATGAAGCATACTCTGAATTTTTTATTTTTTTCTGCTGCAGGGAATAGACGACTCCATCTTCATCCACCAACCTTTGGTATACTGTCACTTTTCCCAGGGAGTGGGAGAGCCACGTTATCATCAGGTTGATACGGACATTCACACTCTTATACACAAACACATCAAATCAAAGCGTCTGTGGTTGCTGCTTTCAGGCATCTGTTTATTCTTCATAAACAGAGGTGTTGAAACTGGGTGAGATCATTTATTTAGCACTTAAATGGATTTATCACATAGTTTTTTTCATTATGCACTCAAAGACTTTATAGCTCAAATTATGCTGTCATATCTGATATGTACACTCATTAGCAAACTAATTGCCTTTCTTTTTTACATGAGTACCTCCAATTGTTTACACATCTCTATATCACTACATATATAGCAGCGACACCAAACAGCTGGTTAACTTAATTTCTTGCTAAATTTGATCAGGCTTCAGACTGGGAGAAGCTCCAGAAGACACTGGCTGATGCTCTGGAGCATTATAATGAGCTGCATGCTGTCATGGACCTAGTGCTGTTTGAAGAAGCCATCCAGCATATGTAAGAAAAGCATGTAAAAGTCCATGCAGAAAATATAGTCAGACACTTACAACAATAACATTATTGTAGCAAGTGTTACAAAGCTAATGATTGCGTTCAGCTGTCGGATCAGTCGCATCCTGGAGGCCCCGTATGGTAACGCCCTGCTGGTGGGAGTCGGGGGAAGTGGGAAGCAGAGTCTGTGCCGACTGGCTGCCTTCCTGAGCTCGCTTGAAGTTTTTCAGATCACACTACGTAAAGGATATGGCATCAGTGACCTCAAGGTAAGCAACAGCTACAAAATGTTGAATCTTTTTTTAATCAAAATGAATAATTTAAGTAATGCTAACTTTTCTTGTTTATCATCATTGTCATTTTTTACAGAGTGATTTATCAGCCTTGTATATAAAGGTGGGAGTAAAGAACATAGGGACAGTGTTTCTTCATACAGATGCCCAGATTCCAGATGAACACTTCCTGGTGCTCATCAATGATATGCTGGCGTCAGGTCAGTCTACATCGACTATGGCTGGTGATACAGAGATGGAGAAGTTCTTTGGATACAATTTAATCAAGACTTTTCAACAAAGGTTCAACATTAGCTTTGAATGTCCGCAATTATGTTAAATAATAATAATAAGAATCTTTTCCCATTGAAAACTGAAATGTCACAAACCTTAACAGATAGGGAAATATGAGTTTGTTTATGAAATGGTGTTTGTGTTGGGTTTTTAGGGGACATACCTGACCTATTCACAGATGAAGAGGTGGATATGATTGTCACATCCATCAGAATGGAGCTAAGGGGATTGGGACTCTCAGATAGCAGGGACAACTGCTGGAGCTTTTTCATTGAGAGAATTCGAAGACAGCTCAAGGTTATAGCAATAATCTGCCAATCAAAAATCATAGACGCATTTAAGATATTTTGTCATCTGTTGCTCAGCTTTTTTCCGTAATCTTTTTCTACCAGGTCGTCCTATGTTTCTCACCAGTTGGTTTCACATTGCGAACACGTGCCCGCAAGTTTCCAGCTCTGGTTAACTGCACTGCCATAGACTGGTTTCATTCCTGGCCTCAGCATGCTCTACAGTCTGTCAGCTCAAAATTTATTGAAAAGATACCCGGGCTAGAGGTAAGAAAAAAATACATTTAATTTTGACAAATTGAACAATATTCGCGTATTCGTCCTTGGAACATTTATTTTAAAAACTCCCTTAAGAAAAATGCTCTTACTCTTGTCAGCATGTACTATAAATCACCTTGATCCACGATTTTTAATTTATACTTCACAGCGCAGTGTTAGCGCATCTATTAGTGAGTTCATCTCCTACGCCCACACGAGTGTCAATGAGGTGAGAGCTACTGCAAAGCACTTGGAGAAATAAACACTCCCAATCTCCTCTTTGACTTGATTGAATGGTTGGTTTGTTAAAGGTGAGCATCAAGTATCAGCAGAATGAAAAGCACTTTAACTACACCACTCCAAAGAGTTTCCTGGAGTTCATGAAACTGTATGACAACCTGCTCGGTAAGAAACACACAGAGCTCACCCAGAAGATGGACAGATTGGAGAATGGGCTGCAAAAACTACTGAACACTGCATCGCAGGTCATAAAATATACAGCAGACATAAGAAATACACCAAAATTGTTTCCTTTTTTCATTATTTTTTCATTATCTGAAACTCCTTTTTTTCCCAGGTGGAGGATCTCAAAGCCAAGTTAGCTGTGCAGGAGGTGGAGCTGTGGCAGAGAAACACAGACATTGAAGCTCTCATTGCTAAAATAGGACAACAAACAGAAAAGCTAAACCAAGAAAGAGCTGTTGCTGATGCGGAGGAGCAAAGGGTGAGAGTGTGTGCTTCCAGGGCCTTCCAAGCTAATTAGTCAGGGAAAAGGTCAACCTAAAAAGATACAAGTGGAGTTGTGAAAACGAGAACTTACTGAAGATTGACGGGTTTTGGTGCTTGTTCAGGTGGCAGCCATTCAAGCTAAAGTGACCAAACAGCAACAGGAGACAGAGGAGGATCTGGCCAAGGCTGAACCTGCCCTACAGGCAGCCAACACAGCTCTCAATACACTTAACAGAGTAAAGTATTCATCCACGTCACTGCAGGAATGCAAGTCCCACCTATGCATTTGACGTATTTGTCCAAATCTTTTTTATCCAGTTAAAATTTGACATTAAAGGAAGAACATGTCACAAAGTTGTCTCTGATCCATCCCCTAAAAAGAAAAAAAAGAGTGTATTCTTCTGCGTCTGTGCCTGTGTGATTCAGTTGAACCTGACAGAACTGAGGACATTTCCCAACCCTCCAGCTATTGTCACCAACGTCTCAGCAGCTGTTCTGGTGCTGCTGTCTCCCCAAGGCCGAATCCCCAAAGATCGCAGCTGGAAGGCCTCAAAGATGGTTATGAGCAAGGTGATCATTTACACTGAGGTTTTCCACATAAGTCCCCTCATGCTTTGTCATGGCAGAGAAAAGGAAAAAGAAAGCTATAACCTCCGAGTTGTAGCTATTCATTTATATGTCCTTGTATTTCTGAGCTGTCCTTGTATTTCTGAATGCATGAATATTATAATAGGACATAGTTTTGTCTAATCCACCAAAATGCTTGTTCAGGTGGATGACTTCCTGCAGGCTCTGGTAAACTTTGACAAAGAGCACATCCCTGAAGCTACAGTGAGGACTGTGAGAGAGGACTACCTCAGTGACCCGGAGTTCAACCCTGAGTTTGTTCGACAGAAATCCTCAGCCGCTGCGGGCCTCTGTGCCTGGGTGATCAACATCATACGCTTCCACGAGGTACGCACACGAACCCAAGCTGTCACAATCGTTTTGTCTCCACGGTTCAGTCCGTAGGTGATGTTTTTCAATGTGCAGTCCTGTGCTATTGCAGTTGTCTGACAGCCTTGTTTCTTTCTCTCCATCACTCTCCTTTGGATAGATCTTTGTAAGTACATCCGCTGTTCTGTCCTTGAATTTTAAAGTGTATATCAATTGTTTCAGTGAAGATGAACATTGAGGCTTTTTATGATGCCTTGAAGCTCTCTCTCACGTCTTCCATTATAAGTTAAGGGTTGCAAGGTAATTTCCCTTTTTACAACAAGTGAGTTCTGTTTGTGTCCAGGTATTATGTGAGGTGGAGATGAAGAGGATGTGTTTGTCTCAAGCTAATTCAGATTTGGCCGAGGCTGCAGAGAAACTTGAGGCCATCAGGAAAAAACTTGCCGTGAGTTTTAGAATCAAAGATTTTTTCTGTCCTGTCATTTAATTTCGACATACATACATACATGGAAATTAGGTATAAAACTGATTGTTTCTGTTGTTGACAGAATGTGTAAGAATAATATTTTTTTATTTGGCTTCTTGCAAAAGCCTAATTGTGACATCACCTCCTATCTTGCAGCAACATCTGAATATTAGTTGCCTGTTTTTTCTCACTAGTTAAGTTGTTATTAACTTTATCCCTGATTTTTGAAAAACAGTTATAATGCAGTTTTCCACTGTCGTCAGTCATTATTGTTTGACAAACCTTATTTTTGAGGAGATTCTGCTATTCCTTAGGAACTGGATGGCAGTTTGGAATCCCTGACAACAGCATTTGAGAAAGCAACAGCAGAGAAGCTTCGCTTTCAGGAAGAAGTCAACCACACAAACAAGACAATAGAACTTGCCAATCGGCTTGTTAAGGGACTGGAGGTGATCACATTGGGATCAACTTATACCATTTAAATTCATATCTCTGAGACAACATTCTGCAAGTGCTTTATTTATTTTCATATTTATCATCTGTTATGGGAACCATTGGAGACTCATTTGCAGGACATGTGTGTCTTTCAGAGTGAGAATGTGCGCTGGGCCCACTCAGTGGCTCAGTACCACGAACAGGAGGAAACTCTCTGTGGTGACATCCTCCTAACTGCAGCTTTCATCTCTTATGCTGGCTCCTTCTCCAAAAAGTACAGAAGAGAGCTGCTAGAAAATCTCTGGATGCCATTTCTTGGCAGCCAGAAGGTCAGAAGTTTTTTTTTCTTATAGTTAGTTATTCAGATCACTCTCTGTTCATTCCATATGGGCTCACTCTCCGTTCTATGTCAATGTCCGTGTCATTCTTCTATGTGTGTTTAAATACAAATGTCTGTATTCTTTTTTCAGGTGCCCATCCCTATGATGGGGGACATAGATCCTGTGTCAATGCTGACTGATGATGCCACCGTGGCCCAGTGGAACAATGAAGGCTTACCAGGAGACAAAATGTCCACTCAGAACGCCACCATCCTCACTAACTGTGAGCAGTGGTTTTACATGTGCCTCTTCTTCTTATAACAGTGGTGGCTGTCTCTAACATTCAGAATGTCGCAGTGCAGGCTTCGCTTCGTGACTCTGCCCCATGTTCAGGTGTTGTGTGTATTGTTGCAGGTGAGCGCTGGCCTCTTCTCATTGACCCTCAGCTGCAGGGTATCAAGTGGATCAAGAGTCGCTATGGTAACAGCCTCAAGGTTGTCAGCCTAGGACAGAGAGGGTGAATGTTCTCATTTTTATTGTCCTAATTTTCTGATAACTCCCAATCATTTCTCACATGCTCTTTCGTAGAAGTCACATTGAATATAAATGTGACTTCTGAAAATGATTCATTTCCATTTATAAGAAATCTTTTGTAGATAAATTACAAGAACTACTCAACTACATTTCTACACATCTAATAATTAATTAATCATATTATTCCAGATATGTTGATGTCATTGAACAGGCTGTAGTGGCAGGTGACACTGTTCTCATTGAGAACCTTGAGGAGACTATTGACCCTGTTATTGACCCTCTTTTGGGGCGACATACAATCAAGAAGGGCAGGTAACACGCTGGTGCATAAGTGAGCATATGTATGGACAATAAAACAGTCCACCCTTTGATCCTCATAGTTTTGCTCTGATATGTCTTTCTGCATTTATTTTTCTGCCACAGCTGTATAAAGGTTGGCGACAAAGAGTGTTTCTTCCATCCGGGCTTCAGGCTAATACTTCACACTAAGTTGGCTAATCCTCACTACAAGCCAGAGATTCAAGCCCAGACCACCCTGATCAATTTTACTGTGACCAGGGATGGACTGGAGGACCAGCTCCTTGCACAAGTTGTGAATCAGGAGAGACCAGATCTTGAGCACCTAAAGGTGACTCACATCTTTGCCGTCATGCTCTATAACTCTCATACCAATGAGCATTGGAAGTTTTTCTAAATAATCTTACTGGAATCAGGCTGTGCTTCGGTTTTCTTTAGTTGTTTTAAAAGGCCTTTTTTTTTTTTTACCAAATCTACATTTTTTTGCAGAGTGAACTAACCAAGCAGCAGAACATGTTTAAGATTGAGCTGAAGCTTCTGGAGGACGAGCTGCTAACCAGGTTGTCTGCTGCAGAGAGTAACTTCCTTGGCGACAATGTGCTGGTGGAGAAACTTGAAACCACAAAGCACACAGCTGCCGAAATTGAGATGAAGGTATATGCTTAATGCTTAGTTGTGATGAAATGCTATAATATAAGGTGACTTATTTTGACTTGGACTCTCCACCCACTTATATTCTACTTCTCTATCCTTGCTTTTCGTCACCTCTTGTTCTCAGGTCCTCGAAGCTAAAGTTAACGAAGTGAAAATAAACGAGGCCCGAGAACACTATCGCTCTGTTGCTGTCAGAGCCTCTCTGCTTTACTTCATCATGAATGATCTCAACAAGATAAATCCTATGTACCAGTTCAGCCTCAAGGTAACCACAGGAGATAGATGGGCACTGACAGGAAAAAATTCATATTGACTTTTATTTTTCATTCAGTGTTATGACTGAGTGTCATGTTTAGCCGTTTGCAATTAGGGTCTCGTGTTAAACCCTGGATGAATAAAATTATGTATTTACAAAGGACTCCCACCAAATGGTTCTTTCTCTTGCACACAGGCGTTTAATGTTGTTTTCCACAAGGCGGTGGAGATGGCGGAGGCCTGTGAGGATGTAAAAAGCAGAGTAAACACACTGATAGACTGTGTTACATACTCTACCTTCAACTACATAAGCCGGGGTCTCTTTGAAAGAGATAAGCTCACCTTCACGGCACAGCTCGCCTTCCAGGTGTGTACAGGTTTGTGCTAATTTGGGATGGACATATTTTTCTCTCTGACTTTATTCTCCCTATTTTCAGTTGCTCTTGATGAGTAAGGAGATAGACGTGCGCGAGTTAGACTTCCTGTTACGTTTCAACATTGACCACCATTACATAAGCCCTCTTGACTTTCTGTCCAATTCCGCATGGAGTGCCATCAAGGTTCGGCAGCACATATATAGATTAGCCGCATTTTTTTTATTTACGCTTTTAATGACCATCGGCTCTTACTGGTTTGGGTCTAGGTGATGAGTTTTACTGATGAGTTCCGTGGTCTGGACCGAGACATTGAGGGTTCACCAAAGCGCTGGAAGAAACTGGTGGAGTCCGAGTGTCCAGAGAAAGAAAAGTTTCCTCAGGAATGGAAGGGCAAAAGTTCCCTGCAAAAACTGATCATGATGAGAGCCCTGAGACCAGACCGCATGACCTACGCTGTGAGGTACTGAGAACTTTCCTTCGGATCATAGAGATATTGTTTAGCTGGCAGTTGGAAGTGTGTTTATGTTATCTCCCTGAAGACAAATGGACCATGTCTTTGGGAACAATGTTTTATAAACAGGCATTTACATCATTTTAGTTGTCCATGTTTTGTAAATTGCTCTCAGAATCCTTTGTTCCTTTTGTGCTTTGCAGGAACTTTGTGGAGGAGAAGCTCGGGACGAAGTATACAGAGGGCCGAAAGACTGAATTTGCTAAATCCTTCAGAGAAAGTGGTCCTGCCTCTCCTGTGTTTTTCATTCTCTCACCTGGAGTGGACCCACTAAAAGATGTGGAATCACTGGGTACTTTTTTACTCTATGCTGTACTTATGCCGCAAAAGCTAAAAAGATAACATGAGTCTGGAGTCCCCATGGTAGCTTTAGAATTTGGGATGAACAACACCTGTAAATTGTGCCAGTTCATTTTTTCCTTTTCCATTATGAAAGGTGAGTTCATAAAAGTCCTTTTTGTGTGTTCTCAGGAAGGAAGCTGGGTTTCACTATAGACCTTGGAAAGCTTCACAATGTCTCACTGGGTCAGGGACAGGAAACTGTGGCTGAGATAGCGATGGAGAAGGCTTCCAAGGAGGGTCACTGGGTTATATTGCAGGTATGCTTGTGATTAAATAAAAAAGTCTTAAATACTGGAATCAATAGGCTACTCTGGATTTGAAATAGCAAAAGCAATTTTAGTTATATGTCTTTCTGAAAGAAAAAACATTGAACGTAAATAACACTGGAAATATTCATTTTATTTCAAGCAGTGCATTGATTTTGCACTTTTTTCTGTGGTTCTGGCCTGTAGAACATTCACCTGGTTGCTCGCTGGCTTGGTGCTCTTGAGAAGCTCCTCGAGTTCTGCTGTGAGGACAGTAACCCAGACTATAGAGTGTTTATGAGTGCTGAACCAACATCAACACCCCAAGAACACATTATACCACAGGTAGGGACACAGAGCAAGGTTAATAAGAGTAATAAACAACTTTGCACGTAATTGATTTATCTAGCTGCATTTTTTCTCCACTTTTATGGTCTAATTCAGCAGTGCCCCATCCGTTTTTTGTCTGTGTGCTTCTCAGGGTATTCTGGAAAATGCTATCAAGATCACCAATGAACCTCCTACAGGCATGCATGCCAATTTGCATGCTGCTTTGGATAATTTTGATCAGGTGAGTTTGTCAGCTCATGCCTTTTTGTGCCTATTCATCTTTGTCTTATTGACCAGTTTATTGGTTTATTATTTGCCCCATCTCCAGGATATTTTGGACCAGTGCAGCCGTGAGCAGGAGTTCAAGACCATCCTTTTCTCTCTGTGTTACTTTCATGCCTGTGTTGCAGAGAGGAGGAAATTTGGGCCCCAAGGGTGGAACAGAAAGTATCCATTCAACACTGGGGATCTTACTATATCTGTTAACGTTCTTTACAACTACCTTGAGGCTAATGCACAGGTAAGGTGTGTTCCGATGATGATAAGTGAAGGGGTGGTTGCATTAGGGGTGTATTTTCTTAAGTTAATATTTTAATCAAGGTACCATGGGAGGACCTAAGGTATCTGTTTGGGGAAATCATGTATGGGGGACATATCACTGATGACTGGGACAGACGCCTCTGCAGAACCTACCTGGAAGAATACATGCAGCCCAACCAGGTATGTATGATTATGAAAGAGATACACTCCAAGCTGTTCTCTGACAAAAGATGTATAAATGGACATTATAACATGTCATTTTTCTTAACTAGTTACAGCTAGTAGCACTTACACTAGCCAAGACAGACAGGACCCTTGCATAGCTAAATACAGTATTTTATTATATTCAACACTAATAGTTTATTTTTAATACCACTTAGTTTGACCGGAAACTTTCCTTGGCACCTGGGTTTGTGGTCCCTTCCAATCTGGACTACCAGGTAAAATGGAGGAAATATTGTTTCAAGCAGTTGAACCATCACCTTTCTAACTCTTTCCTGTTTTCTGGTGTAAAATCATGAAACTACAATGTGCAGGTTGAGTTGAACATGTTAGCATGTTTATTTTCAGGGGTATCACGACTTCATAGATGAAATGCTACCACATGAAAGCCCTGCGCATTATGGGTTGCACCCCAACGCAGAGATTGACTTTCTTACAGTGACGTCAGATAGCCTCTTTCACACTCTATTAGAGCTTCAGTCTCCTGATGCGGTGATGGGGGAGGGTGCTTCACAGACCCTGGAGGAGAAGGTAGTTCAACAATGTTTTAAAGGATTTTAGACATTTTTTTGCTCATCTATATACATGCTCTGAGACAAAGATATAAAAGAAAAGTGAAATAGAAAAAAACACATTAATTTATCATCAAGGTTTACATTTAGTCTCAATACCAGCACTGTCAATCCTTCTAGAAGCAGGTGTTTTAGTCTACAATCATGGTCCCTTTCCTTCCTCTGCTCCAACTGATTAGTCACACTTGTCACCTGCAGGTGAAATCTATTTTAGATGAAGTCCTAGAAAAGCTACCAGAAAACTACAATATGTCTGACATCACATCCAAAACAGCCGAACGGTCCCCGTATATCCTAGTCTGCTTCCAGGAATGTGAGCGCATGAACATGCTCATTTATGAGATACGCCGCTCACTGAAGGAGCTGGACCTGGGACTCAAGGTGCACTCGTATTTTACTGTAGTAGTATGATTGTTTACGGGTGTTGCAAAATAAGTACAGTACAGTGGTCTCAAATGTAAATGTCTATAGAGATGTAACGGCCAGTTCTCTCTATTAAGGGTGAACTTGCTATGTCATCTGAGATGGAGAAGCTTCAGACAGCCTTGTTCTTTGACTATGTCCCTGATACCTGGACCAAACTGGCCTACCCATCTACCTACAGCCTGGCTATATGGTGTGTGTTTCAGTTTTAGTACAAAGATTTGTAAAAAAATTATTTGGGGGATGTGTAATGTGTAAAAGTTACTCTAAGCTACAGTAGTTTAAAGTTATGTGTTAAGGCGGAGTTAAGGCAGTTATGTGTAAAAGTAAGCTATGTTCTAATAGGACTACATTACCAACAGCTGTTTGTGTGATTCATATGTGGTACAGGTACAATGATGTGATGCAGCGTTGTAAAGAGCTGGACAGCTGGACTCAGGACTTGTCTCTACCTAGTGTCATCTGGCTCTCTGGACTCTTCAACCCACAGTCCTTTCTCACTGGTACTGTTTCCCCTTTTCCCTGTATCTTGTTTTCTCATATATGTAACCATCACTATCATCATTGTGTGCTCGCTTTTCAGCGGTGATGCAGTCTCTGGCACGCAAAAATGAGTGGCCTCTGGATAGAGTTAATCTTACAGTAGATGTGACCAAGAAGTTTAAGGAAGATTTCAACCAACCTGCCAGAGAAGGAGCATATGTGTATGGGCTTTACATGGAAGGTAGACTAACATTTTCTTTAATGTTTTTTATTACACACATTGTAACTTGTAGCAACCAAGGCTGGATTTATGAACAGAGCAAAAAAAGGAAAGAAAAGTGTTTTCGAACTTTTGTGTTCAACAGGTGCCAGATGGGACACTCAGACTGGTGTGATCACTGAAGCTCGTCTGAAAGAGTTGACGCCAGCCATGCCTGTCATATCTGTCCGTGCCGTACCCAATGACCGCCAAGAGACCAGGAATATCTATGAGTGTCCACTGTACAAGACCAAAATCAGAGGACCCACATATGTATGGACTTTAAGTCTCAAAACAAGAGAACGACCTGCTAAATGGGTGCTGGCTGGAGTGGCCCTTCTGCTCAGTGTTTAGAAACCACAGGGGAAAAAGTTGGGAAGATAATTTTACTTCGCAATATAACTGTTTATTGGTGGAATCCTCTCTATGTGTTCCTTTTAAACTATTAGACACCAGTATTGTTGAATTGGTACAGTTATTTAGCAGATGAAAGTACTGAGTGAAATCAGACTGTTTTCTTTTTATTGAAAAATAATAAAATATACAGGGGATAAAATCCAAAATATCACACTCTAGATCACAGATACAAACTGATAAAAGCATGTTGGAACAAATCAAATCAATAAACAAGATATTCTATAAGCTGGAGAAAAACAGAAGTGCTGCCTCATTAGAGCGCCATTCAAGTGTGGTATGTTGTTACACTTGTACCACTTACAGCATGCTATGCAGCAGTTTCAATAGTACAATAAATTACAAAGGTGAAGTCATTCTGATACCATGACAACACAGCCCCTTCAGTTCTCCTTCAGATACACATTATTCTCTGTTAATCTAATACCAAGAAACACATCAGCTTTGGGTCTGAGTCAACAGATTGGTCACTTTTGCATGAAATCACTGAGAGTAACCTCCCTAAGTGACATTTGATATAACTTTCCAAATGGCACAAGTCTGAAAAGTATGTAGTTACTTTCAAAGGGTTGGGTGGTTTACTTTTGTAAATGATTGCCTTCTCGTGGCAATAATATAATCTATAATTATGAAGTGGACTCTTTACAATTTTCATTTGTATTATCAGATTTTTTTTAAACAAATTGCCTGAGTTAAAAATGAAGGGAAACAATTCACTGAGTTTTCAAGTGACCAGTGATCCAATGCTGATGCTTTAACAGATTAATGCAGTTGTTAGGTATCTCATGTCAAAAGAGGCTCTCTCTCTCACTTTTCTGCTCCTTACTACTTCACAGTACTCATGGGTGTGAGTTTCGAACATTTCATTAAGAAAATAATAATTAAAAAAAAGGTTTTCTGCTTTTCATTTGTTGACTGATGTCATTTATTTCTAGTTTGGCCTTTTTCTTTGTTTTTTGGGAGTGCTTTCTGCACACACAAACTTGTCTCCTAGTCGCTGTCAGACCAATCGAGCTCCATCATGTCCATGGCCGTTTTTGCCATGTTGATCTTTGTTCCATGCCGCACGCTGCAGCTCTTCACAGAGTTCTGATTGGATGATGCCCGCATGCTCACCTGCATCCCAGAGTGACCGACGACTCCCACTTCGCCTCTAATCTTTTGACTGATGGCCTCGCTGAGGTCGCTCCTTACTCCCTGGACCACAACTCCCATGTCACTCCTGTGACCCCTGACCCCCAGCTCGCTTCTGACGCCATGACCCATCACCTTCATTACTCCCATTTCACCCATGTTCATGTCCATGTCACCTAAACTCTCCATCTCCCCCATTTTATCAATATCTATGGACAGCATGTCTCCCAAGCTCCCCAAACTCCCGTGGAGACCTTTGAACATGGTTGACATCCTTCCTCCTTCGAGCCCTCCCTCCATCCCAGTCTCCTCTAACCTGTCTCCAAGTTTTTCTATCTCCCATCCTCCCTCCTTTTCACTCTCTGTCTCTGCCTCCCCAAATCCTCCCGAATACCCTCGGACAATAGTGGTCACTCTGCTTCTCTGTCTGCCTCCTCTCTCCCTGTCCCCCTCCTCCCATGTCCTCTCTTCCCTCTCCACTACGCCTCCTGGAAAACTCCTGAGTGTCACCTGCACCCGTCCCCCCTCCAGACTCCCACTATCCTTTCGTTCCCTCTGACCCCAGCCTTTGTCATGAACAGTACCTTCTTCTTCCTCATCCTCCTCTCCAAACCTCCCCTGCAACCCTCGGAACATGGCATGTAGCCTCCCGCTATCGAGCGAGCCCATCCCCCTCTCCAGCACAGCACTGCTCCCCCTCTCAGTGTCTCCATTGCTGAGAGTGCGGAGGATGCAGCTGACACCAGCGCTGCTGACCCCCGCGCTGCTGACCCCTGCACTGCTGACACCAGTGCCATTGGAGTCCTGAGAGTGTGAGCGGAAGAAAGAGCCAGTGGAACCGATCGACATCGGACTGAAGAACTGATAAAACAAAGACAGAGGAAAAATTAGAGGAGGGGAAAATTCATCACCAGGAAAAGGTATCTGCTTATGTTGTCGTTCTCTGCTCAGTTTACTATTTGCTCTTCTGCTGCTTACTGGTGAGATGTTTGACCGCTCCATGAGCAGAGAAGTTGGACTTGGTGTCATGTTTGACCTCTCCATCAGCCTCTCCTCCCACAATCTGAGCCTCCTCTCCCTTTCCTCCAGCTCCTTCTCCTTGGAGTAAAGCTCCCTTTCTAACTTCCGGAGGCGCTCCAGGGTTGCCTCAATTTCACATCTGTATTATTTGCATATAGAACAAACAGAAACAAAACATTAGCTGTGACTAATTGCATAAAAAATCATCTCGAGCTGAACAAAATTTCCACTGTGATCTCAAAAGAACTGACATAATTACAATTTCCTTGCTACTTCTTACTCAAAATGAGCAAACAAAATTAAATACCTCCAATCCAAACAGACATTTGCACATTAATAGGGTATATTTTGACCTATTCAGTAAAGTTTTTAATGAATAACAGTTTTTTATGAGTTTCCACAACAAAGATTAAGTTTATTAGTGCCACCTATTGTTCACACCACAAAATTTCACAAAAAAACGGGGACATGACATAAGTAAATGAAACCGTCACATTAATTAATATAGTGATAACAATAATTTATATTGATATGTACTTTTTTTATGTGCTAAGAATTTTAAAAAATGTGGGTTTATTTTTTAGTTAAGCATGGTGAGAATGCACTGAGATGTGATTTTAGTTGTTAATCTTACAATTTCAGCCTAAAACAGTATCCTGAGTTGGCATTAAGCTTCGGTGCACACAAAAGACAGCACCAGAACAAGTAGAAACACAAAGTGGCCTCTAAAGAACCAAACACGAGTACAACATGATATATTATAGGATATTAATCAAATGTACTGTAGCAACTGTCTTTTGTTGTTCAACAGAACGTCACTGGCGAGAAGCATTTTAGATAACATCAGTGGAAAATATTTCCGTGCAATACTGTCTGCTTCCACAAAAGGTCACTGTGGGAGTAACTGTATCTGAAAATGCATTCACTCACAATCGACTCTCACGGAAGCTAAATATAGACAGAGGTTCAACGCACAGCCATACCGCCTGTGTTCCTCCCATACTCCCCCACTCATTCATCCAGCCCTTTAGCCCCCTCAGCTCTGCCTCATCCATGTCCCAAGTTTTTCCACCCATATCCCAAACTTCACTCAGAATTGATTGCCTTTGCTGCGCTCATGTTAAATATGCACAGAATCTCACACCCTCTCTCCTCTGGTCCACTGCCCACATCTCTCCCTCCTCCCGTCCCCCCCACTGACATCTGTCCACCCTTGTTTCTCTGCTATCATTGTTGTTTTCTCCCTTGCTCAGTGCTGCAGATTTCACATTCACACAATACATTTCTGTTCCTCCCAGAACTTCTCCTCGTCAACTCACATTTGATTTTTCTCCTCCACACTCCACATGTAACCACTGCCCTCCTCCACCCCCATCCCCCTGTCCCTCCTCCAGTACAGGGGGAATCTTATCCATGGATGCTTTCCAGAGTGCTTAATATAGACTCAAGCTGAGTGCAGGGTCACACATTCAACTTTTCTCCTGAGCTCTGTGGTGCACAGAGTTGTGTACATATAATATGGTATAAGGCATGTTTAGTGTACTTGAATTAAAAGATGACTGATGGTCAGATTCACAGCTGTTACATTTTCTTTTTGGGTGTCTGTGTGTGTTTTTAGTACTTGTACCTCCACTGGTCTTTGTTATGTAGGAAAGAGTTACACTGGTCTGGTAGCCTGCTGTCATTTGCCATGGTCTCCAGGGTTCCCAGCACCTGTTTAAACTGTGGACGTTCCTGCAGGTACATGGAGGGAAACAGAATAGAAAAACATTTAACTCTAAGTAATCCCTATGAAACATTTTTAACATCTAATCCTAAATCTACCTTACCTTTGGGTCTGCTTGCCAACATTTCCTCATTAACTCTCCAAAACTTGCAGGACAGCTCTTAGGGATGGTCAGCCTCTATACATTCACATGAACAAGACACACATCGCAAATACATGAGCCTTGACTTTTACAGAAATAAAAAACTGGCTTTTAATGTATTTTTGTTACTTTGTAAAAAACAACTGCTGGTACCTAAAAAGTGCCACAAAAAAGGATGAAACCGGAGTTGAACCTTAAAAATGTATACATTTCTGAAGCTTTTTATCTTTAATCTTAAGAGAAGAATTCTGCAAGACTAATGACAAAAATGGGCTTTTTCCCAGAGTAAAAAAAGACCCTTATCAAACATCTCAAAGACTAAAAACATGGGGAGAAAGTATGATGAGGAGGAACATTTTTTCACCTGATACATGGAATGAAATTAAACTCACAGTAAAATGCTTGTGGCTGTTTAGTTTAAAGGAAGATATATAAGAATTTACCCAATACATTTTTTAAATATTGTTATTTAATTAAATTGGAGAATTATAGTATGATAAAAAAGAGGTTCAAAATTATAACTTCAAAGACTAATTATATCCTAGAGGAACCCAGTGTGATTGTCTGCACATCATGGTGGCAATTACGCTAATATGTAGCTGGTATATCTCTGTTTGCCAAGAGTGCCATCTGACCTTAATATGTTAATGTACTGCTATTTCCAAACCAGTAATAATCACAGTTAAATGATAGACTATATAAATCATTAAGACTTTGAAAAGCACTATTATTTAAATTTCAGTTTTATCAAAATAAAGAGATAGTTGTCCAAAATGTGAGCTTGTGGAATATTCGTGGTCTTCTCAACAAAATCTGGCCTCACAGTTGAAGTTCAGTACTCATTTGCTTTGGATTTCATATCCATCTCTTTTAATTAGTCTGTACAATTCCGCTGAATGCATTGCCTAAATTATTCCAACTCCATCACTCTGCCAGACCTTCACACATTATTTCCTCTTAAGTACTCCATCTGGTACATTTATACTTCCAACTAAACTTTTCAAAGACGTCACTGTCACCATCAGAGCCAGCAGTCAAAGCCCTAGGGGAAACACCACTGTTCCTTTAATGTGTAGAGGGGGCTTTAAACCCTATACAGCAGTAAACTTACCAACCTTAGTCAATGTCTACTAAATATAATCACACAAAAAACAATGACTGCAAATGTTCTCCAGCTCCATAAAGATAAATCTGTTTAGATATTTGGTTTTAGATTGTAGCATATCAGTGCCAGTATAAATGTTCAGATATAACCAGGAGAGTGCAGACCATAACAAGGTGACAGGACCACGTCCCCTCTCAACTTTTGTTACATTCCTCATTTGTCTGATTTGACTGAACTGTTTCCTTCGAAAGTCTAAAACGGTCTATCAGAGATGTGAAAACAATGACAGAATCTATATTCAGGTCTATAAAGTCAGTGGAAAACACTAAGACAAGCCAGTTTAAAAAAACATTAGCCAAAACTACCATGAAACTTGCATTTGTTTAGTTGAACCATTTACTAATATGCTGCAGAGAAACTTAAATGAGTTGTTGTTTTCACACCCCCTGGCATTATCAAAGATCTGTATGCATCCAGAAAGCTCCATAGTTCTGTGCAGTAAATGGAAACAGTTTTTCACTGGGGATTAATCTTAAAATATCCCCAACCGTGAGTGGATAGAGTGCTAGTTAAAGGGTCAGGGAGAGAAGAGTGGCTATGGAGAGGGAAATCAGGGAGAGACGGGGAAAGAGGAAGAGAGGAACAGAGTGAGTTATTTAGGGAGAGTGTTTGGAGATGAGCCAACAGCTATGAAGGAATCATGTTCCAGTTGTTTATTGCGGACACTGTGCTTGTGTGTGGGGCTTCTGTGGTCAGTAAACCGGAGCACAGAGCTAGCATAACCATCACCTCCTAGAACCTATAAACCTCTAGACAAAAAACATCCATCAGTGTTGCTTTAGTGTATTTTTTTTCCTTCTATGTATTCTGTGCATGTAAACGCATTAGCCTGCAGAGAGTCTGGCCAGACTCCACTGCTGTGTATCCAGGCCTTACATGAGCAGAGAACTGACATCAGGCCTAAAAATAATCAGCCTCACCAGCTCACAGTGGAAACCATGAGAGCATCGCATTGTTCCTCCAGCAGTCTCAAAGTCTGGCGGGTCTACATGCTCACAGTAGGTTAACAAAAACTGTTTGTGTCTGTGTGCAATTTACTTGCAAGTTACCTCTTGTTTCTCCACCACCAGCCATGCAACCTGCAGCCCTTCAAAACCTTTGAAAGGAACCTCTCGAGTCAGCATCTCCCACAGCACCTGGGGAGAGAACACTCATATCATACACACCTTACAGGTTTCAGTGCTCACTGCTACTCTTCCGATTGCTGCCAGGAAGAACAGACGTATGAGTCCTGACTTCCTTGACATTTGCATCTACATCGCTAACAACTCACCACACCATAGGAGTAAGTGTCACACGTCTCAGAAACAGGTAGGCTCTGAATTACTTCCGGAGCCATCCACGGAAAAGTGCCCACCACCGTCATATGGGTAGTGTGAGACAGAAACTTAGAAGCTCCAAAATCACAAATCTGAAATCGACACGAAATTGAATTTAGGAAAATACAGCTGAGCCACATTTGTGTGTCTGATTTTTAGAAAATAATTGCTACGAACCTTCAGCACTTTATCAGCAGTCATTACGACTGTAAACAGAGATGATAACAACCAATCAGAAATCCCCAGAAGAAATGCCATATGATTAAGCTGGTACCACTAATATTAATACTTTATTTAGTGTACATACAGAGAGAAAGTCTGAAAAACACATCAGAAGATAAGTTAGTTTAGTTTCTGTTACCATTTCGCGATTTAAGGTCTCTGTGAATCACTTTGACTGGAGCTTCTGCATGAAGGTAATGCATTCCTGAAAAGACATCAAGAATCAAGAACTTGGGGCAGAAATAAAGCAAAACCTTTTTTCTGTTTGATGCTTTATTTGTTTTGGTCTAATCTATTTTAACTGCACAAATGGGTCTGGTTCACACATGATGTTAACTATTATTAAAGAATAAACCATATCAATACCCCATGACTTTTTGAAAATATGTACTTAAACTCGGAAATTATCTTATGCTAAAGAAAAGTCTACTCTTTGTGTCAGTTAGTTAGAAGAATTGTAATCTGGGATACAGATGCATCTACAGGAGTTTAATCCATCTGCTTAATGTTCTTAGCTAAATTTGTATTTTTGCTGATAGGAGGGGCATTGATTAGGTACGTCAGTTTAAGTTGATCCAGATTTATTGATCATATTTGTGTAAGAAGAGTCTTTTTGATTTCTGTTTTTATTAGTTTGACAAAAGATCACACATTATCTTGAGGTAAAAGAGCAGATATGTCACTACTTTGAGACTGGGTTAATCTAAATAAGGATGCCATGTGGACAGAGCCAACCAATCATGACTCATAATACCACATTCACATTTTATTCTTTTTGTATTTAAAAAACTAACTTAAATATGTAAATATATGTAAAATAATGACGGATCAAGTATAGACCGACATACTTCTCCCACGCTCCAACGTTTTAAAAAAAAAGAGCTGTAATGTGTTTTACTTGGAAAATTGGACATAGTGTTATTTATACTTCTTGGAATTTATGGAGATATAGAGGCAAAGGAATAGTCATCACTTTCCGGTTGCGTAAAATAACTACGGTATGTAGGATTTATTATTGAAAAGGATCACTTTAATAAAGAGTACCTTTGGCTATCTGTATGGCCCATGTCATGATCTGCTCCATGTCCATCTCCTCACTCTGCTCACTGGAAAGATACTCATAGAGAGAACCTCCATTTGCATACTCTGCAGAGAGACATGCACGAAGAAGTACAGACAGACATCACAGTTTTGGTAAGAGACCCATACTATACAAAGATTATGTGAAATGAGGAAAGCAAATAAACAAATAAAAAACACCCATGACGAAGTCCATAGGTCTCGCTAAAGACATAAATCTTTCAGAACTGATCCTTCACAAATTCTGTGACTACCTTTCATGTCTTCCTTTTGCCTCTAATGTCTGACAGATCAAATAGAGAGACAGTATACTGTCCTCACAACACCTGCCTTGTTGGGCTGGTGGAAATTGATGTTAAAGTCTGAATGCAGTGGTGTGTCAGTTCTTTATATTAATCATACAACCCTATCAAGGATTACAGCGTCATTCAAACATGCTGGTCTCAGTTACAAATGTCCTGCCAGGAAGAACGGCAAGAGTCACTGTTCAGTGTATGCTATGATGGTTAAAAAGAACACTCGTTAACACAGATCGGCCATCGAGGCATGTGCTAGCATGTCTGTGGGGTTTTTCATCTAGGATAACTAATATGTATACTATGATAACGATAACAAGCATACAAGCTTGTGTTATTTTTCATGAACTTGCACTGTGGCCTAATTGTAAATCATCTTCACCCTAATCTAAACTTTACCCTTACAATTGCCTGATGTCACTTATATACTTTAGACTTTAAACTTTCTATGTTGAATACTTTTTGTGTTCATTCTGCCCCGACAAAGGCTTATTTTAAGTTTTATGTTCCAGAGAGAAAATCTGAAAAGAAACATGAATCTTACAATAGCACGTGCGCACACACACACACACACACACACACAGGGGATCTGACCTGTGACAATGCCATAGTTGGGAGATTCCAGCACGGCTCCATAAAACTGAATGATGTTCTTATGACTCAGTACGCTTAGAATCTCAGCCTGGATGAGAGGAAAAGACATAGAGAAACTAAGAAATATAAACAATTTTATTAGAAGACTCCATAAGGTTTTATATATCTGACAATATAGCAGCACAAGCTTTCTGGGGGACAAGAAGAATGTTTCAACTTTGACTTTTGACGTCATCCAGTTTTAAGGTCGTTTGTGACAGTGTCATCAGAGAGGCCTAATCTGAGGACTGAATTCTTTCGCTGAGTCTCCCAACAAAGATTGCCCACACAGCAGTGACAAACACGCCATTAATCAGCACTGACATATTCTGCCGATTTTGCCAAGCAACACAACAACTACCCATCGGTCGTAACAAATCACTGACATTCTGTGATAAATACTCAATAATATTTTCACAAATTAATTTTTATGTATCTCTCAATTTGGATTAGAGGTTTTAATCGTGGTGAAAAAATACGGTTAGTACCTCTAAAGATACATCTGTAAAGGTGTTTTTGCAAAGAATGACTGCAGGACAAGATGCATACAAGAATAGCCACTAAAATGAATCCATGAGCTGCACACACACTCACAAACACAATTGCACCAATTCCATATGCTTGTGTTGGAAATGTGAATAATGTTTAACAACCCACAAACCAAAGCTTCTTCGCAGGGTTTTTTTGATAGTTTGGAAATGTGTCCGGAAGAACCATTGACTGGTATGAACTGAATGTGAGTATTTTAAAAACAGAAAAAGTGCTCTGTACTCCCACAGGTCATTATGACTTTTAAGCTTTAAATGTGACACCCCTGGTGTACCTGTTTCCACACTGATTAAAACATGTACCCATCCTCAAATGACAAAACACTTCACAATAACATACAAAGAAAGGACAATAGACGGTTCCGGGAATAATAAAAGTGATCCATCTACAAAATAGTGGGAGAAGGAGGGAGAGGGAGGGAGAAGTGTTTTTAAGATAAACAAACGTTCAATGGCAGGCAACAGAGGAGGGGGAAGAGAGAGGGGGAGAGGAATTTAGATCCTGTCTCGGAAATTCAATTTAAAAAAAAAAACCTAATTAAAATCCTGATTTTTTTTTTTGCCACAAAAAAATGAGGTCATTCGTTATGGAAATAACGCATACCGCGGAAATCCTAGTTTTTCTCTGCTCCAGAGGTGAATCATCAGTCTGTGTGAGTGTGTGGTTGCATGTTTCCTTTTTACCTCTTTGTCGATCTTCAAAAGTTTCTTTACAGCTACTTCCTTATCTTGGGAAATCCAGACAGCTCTGTAGACGCTCCCAAAGCTGCCTCCGCCGCAGTTCTCATAGAAAAGCAAGTCCTCATGTTTTATCTGCACAAACGAGGAGCCAGGGGACGACATGGCATACTGACTCACGCACACTCACACGTGCACACCCACACCTTCACGCACACGAGCGCGCACGAATCCCCAAAAGCGTGAGCGCTCAAGTCGGAACCGTTATGTACGACCGTGTACAAGTTCCAAATCGGCACGGAGCGAGAGATGAGGGCTAAAGAGAGACTCGGTTGGTTCCACCACAGGGTTGGAGGGAATGTTGTCAGTCAGCTAAACAGATTGTCAGGGGAGAAGAACCCAGAAAGTGCTGGAAAGAGAGAGAGAAGTTTTCACCCTGTGAGTCAGGAGAAGTCAACTGTCATTGCCAGACAAGGTGGAACTATGCCTGATAGTGGTGAACCAGTGCCACTACAACACAGATTGCACACATACACTCACACACACACACTTAAACACATGCACTGCTTGAAGATAAATCAGGGGAAAGTGAGTATATATCAGATTGTATTCAGTGCGTGCACACTGCACAAATATGGTCACTGGCATCCAGGGCATTCCTTCTTCCAGGATAACTGAAGCTATATAAAGCGCCACATTAATCGCACACACGCATGCACTCACTCTGGACTAAAGTGTGTCTGACATACTTACTCAGTTAGCAACTGGGTTTACCGTCACAGATACCTTAATCTGCTCCTCACACACTCTGCTTCTAAATGCATACACTCACTAGAGTAAAGCCAGGGAGGGACAGTGTGTTACTCAACCAGACAGGAATGACCCACTGACTCCATCATGCTCGATTGACTTGCTGACATCACCATCCAGGCACAGGCGAGATCAGCTATGGGAAGTCAGACTACTTAATCTAAACCTACGAATCAATAACAAAGAGTGAGTAGTGTTCTAAACAGTTTTTTCCCTCCCTGAAAGAGTGAAAATGAATAAATCTAAGCTGCTTTGCATACAGTGACCATTAATAAAAGGTTAAGAAGAGCAAAGCCTGGGGGTAAAGTTTGATTTATAGGTCAAATGCAATAATATTTGCTACCATTCACATTAACATAGTCACAGATTTACTATATGACAATAGTGTGCCTGCCCTCAGAAACATTAATCTGGGGTCACGTGTGCCACTGCTGGTTGACTATATCGTTGCCCAGATATTTTGCTCTGGATTTTGAGCGACAGATTGATTTGCCAAATACTCATTTAGGCGTCACTGCTCTGGATTAATCTGAAAAAACGGACCAAGGAATTAACACTGGTAAATTAGACATTTTTATTTACAAGGCAGACTACACATACAATATAGTTACAGGCTGATTTGGGGAAAGTCAGCCTTACGGCAGTTCTCAACTCACATCATCACAGCAAAAGCTCCTGAGATCAAAGAAAAACACATTCAACATTCTACACTCACATATACAAAAAACATAATCACACAGACTGAACACAGTTGGTAGAAATAACAGGATTCCCCTATAAGGTCAAGTTTGCTTAGACTCAGATGTACACAGATGTATCCAATGGAAGAGGTGCAGTTTGGTTGTACAGTTGACCTCAGGACAGATGCAATCAGGCAACTTCAACTTCTTCAAAGATTTATATTCATGGTTTCGTAACACTAGCGTAGCGTAACACTGCACTTTTTGTATTATCATTAGGGCTTTGCTCAAACTAATACTCTGTTAAGTTCCTTTAAAGTTTCTGACTAATTATATAACACTGATATTTACCTCAAGGGAATCAAATCCTATAGATTCAACTCTTATTGGAGAAGAGGAGATTATAAAGTAAATACGTACTCTCAGATTTCTGTATATGTAGCACGGAAAATGCGTCTCGATCACTACAGATTGAGGAGTTTCCTATGTGAGTCTGAGTGGGACCATCAGGAGAGGAAAAATTCGCTCAACAGGAGGGTACAGTCATATATTAGGGCCTATTGGTAGAAGCACAACAGCACTGGACACTCTGATAGAAATCCACTGTATAGAACACAAAGCCTATTAATTCAGTCATGCAAGATATTGATTGTAGTTCTATACATTACAGTTCTATCTAACAGGTCCCAAACAGTAACAACTAGAACGGTAAAAGGCCTAAATCTGGGAGCTGAGAGACGGCGACAAGGGAGCAGCGGAACAGTTTCTGTCTGTCCAGGGGTAAGAGGCTTTTATCGGCACAGTAGAAGTCCTTGATCCATGATAGTCCATAATAATGCTGACCGCTGTGATTTGCTACTAAAAGTCCAGGTGTGTTGAGTTAGTTTAACCTGGTAGCGTTTGTGTGTCTGTGTGTGTTCATGTGTTTTTATAGTAAGATTGTGGAGAAGGCGACAGGCGGTGGAAGATCTGGAGCTCATGTCCGCCGAGGCTCCAGCCTATAGGAGAGCTGCGTCAGAGCCCTCTGGTTGTCAATCACGCAGAGCTTTCTGACGTAACCCCGTACCTCTGCCTGATTCTTGTTGGGTTGGCAAACGTCAGGGTCTAACCGCACAGAGATGTGAAAGAGATTTTTAAAAAGTGACATTAAAAACACTGACTACATTTACATTGGAATAATCTAATGTGGTTTTCTCATTACTTACTGAATGGTTGGCTGCGACAGTGCCTGACTTGTCGAATAGTGTTTGCTATGATACGCTAAAGGAACAAAGACACATTTCACTTAAACCTGTGTGTTACAAACATATGAAAAACTTCTAAGGAAACTACAGAGGCAACATTAAGCAGACTTCAGAAATCCTTTATTGGTCAATGCACAAAGAGACTCACCATTTTTTCAAAATTCACCATATTGTCAATAAATGTCTTGTTGCCTTCATGTGTAAATGTCATATCTGCGAAGGAAAGGAAAAACATGACAGCAGCAGAGTGGTAGAGGTTGATCGTTAGTCATTATCAGAGATGGTAAATCAGTTCAAGTCAGAGAAGACAGTTCTGGTGCTATAAATTGAGCAATTATTTTTCTTGTCTGCTTCTTTTTTCTTGGGGGCTGTGGTGGCTTGAAAGAAACATACCTTTAAGAAGGAGAGGCATGAAGGGTATAATAGGTGGTTCCAGTTTGGTGACAGTAAGTCTGTAGGATCTGTGGTTTCTTGATGGGTCCTGTTGTGAAACATGTTGATAGTTTCAGTTTCCAACATATTAAATGGTCAATTAACCAGATGCTGAAAAAAAATTATCCTTGAGAATGTAGTTGTGCTGTTAATTCTCTCCTGGAATCTATAGTGAGCCCAGTTTTAGATCTTTTAATAATTAATACAGAAAGTAAAGCATTCAGTATTGTTAGATACAGTCCATTAAATAACAATTTCAGTGATGGAACTGTTTAAATCTGAATTTAAATGTTTTTAATGCCTCTGGATTTACATCTTAACAAAACTCACCATCATACTCTCAAACTCGGCATAAAACTTCTTAAACTTGGTGGGAAGTTTCTGTTAATGAAAGACATAACTCTGCGTTAGGACTTTCATGCAGAACCTGAATAGGCTTAGTTTACTGTGGCTTTATAGACAGATTTATTTTTCTTTATCCAATGACTCACCTCCCATGTCTGACTCAGTCTGCTGACGGCAGGGTTGCTCATCCCCATAATGATGGCAAAGAACGAATTGAGGTTCTTAAATTCTCGACAACTACAGACGAAAACAAAAGTGAGTACAAGTAGAAACCTCACCAGCTTTTACTTCTATATGTGGATCGTTTGATAAGCAGGTTCTACTCACTGTGCAGCTATTTTGATGAACTTCTTGAGGAGCTGGACTCTCTTGCTGAGTTGACTGCAGAGGCAAACTTCAGTGACCACCCACAGCTGCACCTGGTTGAACCTCCTCAGGAACAGGTCCAAGTTAGCCGTTGTTCTTCTAAAGCTCTGGCGGCCAAACGTGTGGTAAAGCAGCTCATGCTGTGGGGCAGAGTGGAGGAGACTGTGTGAGTCAGTGCAGAATAAACCAGGGAGGCAGATTCTGCACCCAAGAATGAGGGTGATTATAGTCACTGACTTCATTGCTAGCTGACTTCATTGCCAGTCTATGAGAAATGTGTGCCTCTTCACATAAAGTACCTCATGTACACAGCTGAAAAGCTCCCAGTCAAACATGGTCATCTGATATGCCAGGTCCTTGGAGCTCATCAGCTCAAAAGTTGACATTGATCCGGCAGAGGGGCCCTCTTGGTCTGGAAGGAGACTCTGAAAGAAAAAAAAACAGATATGGTAAAAGTAGGGGAAAAGCCCAGAAAGCTAAACTTTAGACAATTTCATGCATTTTTAAATAAATTGTTAGACTGTATTACAATGCATGGCTATGTCAGTACAAAGAATCAGTTTTATCCAGTTAGCCTCTTACCAGACTGTTGAGCTGTTCTCGAGGACAGGCAAATAATCTCCCATTGATGCTCACGGTAGAAAACACTGATACATCATTAGGCTTCAGGATTTGTTTTTCTGTGACAGAGAACGGGACATGCAAGCTTTATCCACCAAAATATGTTCCAGAGTCGGACCGTGTTTTTTGTTTTGTGAACTTTAAATATGTTATTGCTGGTTAGCACGTACAAAATGTTGGTGTTTACTGCTAATCTAAGTCCAACGCAGGCTTACCACCAGCAGAGCTGAGATGGACCAACACTAGTTCATCAGACGTGCACAGTTTGTCGGTCACAGCGCTGACCACTTCTCTTCCTGTCGCGGCCACAGCAATCCTGATTGTGGTGTAAGTGTGATCACTGCAGTACACCTTTAAGAGAACTGCACACATGCAAAAGAAATCCAGTATAATATGGTATGTGAAAGTTTCTTATCTAGAATACTGAAAAAAATTGAGACTCAAAATGGTTTGACATTTGTCACTAGTTATTTTGCAATTTAAATCTGTACATTTATTCAACCATGGGAACATGCTCGGTCAAATAAGATCAAATAAAATAAACAATGTTTATAACCCCTTTTTTATGTCTGTGTGACTGATGATGGTTGACTTCCTCTAGCTGATCCAGGTCCACATGATTGTTAAGAAAACAGTTTTGGCACGGAGCTTATGTTGATTTTTTAGTTTCCACATACTTCTACAAAGTGTTCATCATGTAAAACTGGCCAATAGATTCTGTTTCTCCGTACTGTGCACATAAGGAATGTTTTGCCTTTATGGCCAGATGTCAAAAGGGGTTAGGGATCAACAAAATATCAAAGTGTCCCCAAATGAAAATAAACAATAACACAGTCATGGAACATACCATTGCTGACTACTAAAATTGTTTTATGTTTAAAATATACAACATACTGTCATCTTGATTCCTAATGGGCTGTTTTTTCTGCAGCCTTTCCTCGCCGTTGCTGAACTGTCGTATAAGAGTCTTCTGTTAAATAAAATAACAGCAGCCAGTCATTATATCACAGCTGATAATGGTTAAATTCATTCAAACTTATTCAGTTTACAAAAACAACAAAACTTGTGACATACCTTTTTTGTCGATTTAGCCTCTTCTGAACTACAAAAAGTCAAAAGTGACAATATAAATCTGGCAATAAAGTCAGACTATAAGTTTAAGATGAAGAACCATGAGACGTACTGTAATTTCACTACTTTCTCCAGGTCGGGAACCAAATCCTTCAGACCTCTCACCATACGAGAATCATTCGATACGCTCCCGTACAACTCCTGCAGAGACATAGGGGGAGCTGCTCAGACTCAACAGAGCACCTGCTTAAGTTTAGTAACCGATTCCAGTTGAAAGCTTGCTCACGCTCACCTCCAGGAAGGAGACTGCTGTGGGCTCCTCCTGTAGCATGTACGTGTGTGTGTTTGCCCAGCGCAGGGCCAGAATAAGGACCCTTCTCTTACTGTTGAGCGCATGCTCCAGCCGGTCCTGCTCAGAGCCAGGTGGAGATGCCGCATGGTAGGTGCAAACAAGGTCAAAGCTAAATACCAATGTGTAGATTTTTTTAGCATAGATTCCAAAGTATCCAAATTTTGCAATTGCTCAATAGCAATGTTTTCCAATTCAATTTTTTCAATGCGGTATAGCACTTCAATTACATAGCTTCTGTTTAGATTTTCAAACTGTGACATAAGCGTGAGATATATCACCCAGGCAGGGAGAGAAAGAGAAAATAAAGGCAAAAAGGATATTGTGCCATGAGTAGAGGGCACAGCTGGCTACTGGACATGAAGACACAGTGCATGAGAACAAAATCATCCACTGCTGGGTCTAACAGATGAGAAGGAAAGCAGACAGACAGCAAGAAAGGGAAATCAAGGCCAGAACACAGGTTGTGACTGTGCTGTTGAACACACACAGTCAACTTCTCTCTGCCTTCTTCTTCCTAGCATCCTTAGTCATAATGCTCCTGAATAATTGGAAGTTTTGTATTTAATCTAAAAACACGACAAAAAAAAAACCGGTACAGCAGAATGCAATGGTATTGGTCTTTATTATTATATATTTTTACTGTTGTATTGCTATTCTATCCATCAGAGGTCCCCACTTCACCTCTACAGCCTCTGATTACACATGACTCTTGTTCATTATGAGCACATATACCTTCTGCTTTACATAGGTCATTGTGAGATCTGTGTTACTTTACTGGCTTTCTGTTAGGGGAATCATTTAGCCCTGCTTTGGATTTCTAATAGCCTGCCTGAAAATTCCTTCCCCTAAACTGCCATCTTTCCATTTATATTGCACTGTCATCCTGTTTTGAGCTCAAATCCAATCAGACAAAGACAACAGCATGCATTTAATAAGACTACAGTCATTTTCATTTTACTCTGTGCCTACCGGGTTCATTGTGATGAATGTCCAGTCTCATAGTCTCCAGGAAGTGCTCAAGAATCTTTTCTGGTGTTCCTGATATCACAGTGTATCTGTGTAAAGGTGTCAGAGAAAAGCTTAGTGTCCTTTTTCCAGACTGGTCACATGCATTGGATATTTCAAAAAATTTCTAGCAAACGAAGACAATGCTTTTCTGTCCTCAAACTTAAAATAACGATCTCATTAAAAACAAAAAAAATTAAAAGTATATGTTTAAAATCGATTTTACCAAGCGCCTTAAAAAACATAGCAAAAGCAGCATAAGCAGATAACCATGGAACAGTGAAAAGGTCTAAATTTCACCTACTTAATGCTTCCCAGTGTGGATGCTCGGGGACTCTTTTCTAAAACCAGCACAGCTTGTTCATGCTCTTTCAAACGCACCGTGTTTGCTTCCACATCCTAAAAATCCCAAAACAAAATCAGCAAAGAATATTTCCAACAAATCCTTTTGTCACAGGAGGGAGCCATAGATCACAATCAGGCAGCATCGCCAACCGGATGCAATGTACTGGACAGCCTAATTAGGAGTGTCTGCAACCAGAATAAGGGATAAATGTCAGCCCACCCTGAGTATCCTGTTGAAGTCCTCCTTATCCACACGCAGGAAGTGGCAGTTGTCTTCTCTCAGAACGATAGAAGCAGCACGAGGTGAATCTGTAACCAGGGCTAACTTCCCAAAGTCATCACCCTCGTGAAGTGTGCACACTACACCCTGAGATAGACAAATATAAATTAATGAATGTGCATGCAGATAAACACACACACACTAGATATAAACAAGCTCAGACACAAACACAGTTTGAAAGTCATCTGGAGCCCTGAAGAAAAATCAGAAGGGAGCACAAACATTCAGGGCAGGGGGTGAATCATCTGTGCGTGAGTTCCTGTGCATTTGTGTGTGGACATAAGTGAAAACAGTGTGTGTGCAAAGCTATTACATGTATGCATGCTTTCCCTTAAGCCAGTTAATCCCAATGATGAGTCACTCTAAACTGAGCAGAGCTCGCCAAACTCCACTGCTGGTGTTTCCCAGCCCCACAGGGCTGCCCGCAGACATGATGTGTTATGCAACCTAATCCACTACTCACAGAACAAAGATCATCAACTGAAGCAGAAAACTAAGACAACTTCTAATGTGCCACAAACAAACAAACAATGCATATATGGAGGTTTCCACACACCTTCCCATAAATGACCACATTAACGGAGCCCTTCTGGATGATGTACCATGACGTTCCCTCCTCTCCTTGGTTGAATACTAGAATATGAAAGACAACACACACATTACTAACAGACATTACGGGCGCATGCACTTTTTATCATGAAGCAAACAGACAAGAGCAGGATAAAAGTTTGGTTTGGACAGGACACACCAAAGAATATCATAACATCTGGTGTAAGCCTTTATTCAAAATGATTAGAAGAAAAATACTGTTGGGGGGTGCACCTCATGTACTGTATTCTTCATTATGTCCATAAACAAAACAGGATTCTAGAACAAAGTGAAGACTCACACACAGTTCCAGCTTTTGCATGTGACTCGAAGATCACAACGCTTGCCAGTTCTCGCTTTACCTGCAAACCAAAATGTGCACTCTCAAAACTCAGGTGCATAGCAAAGATCCTGCTGTGCTTTAGAAAATGTCAGAGTAAAAATGCTAAGAATGTGTATTCTAAATGTATAAATGATTTCTAACATCTATAACCTAAAGTATATGTTTAAATTAAGTACAGTGAAGGAGAAGTTTGATTTCTTGTTGCCTATACTCATAAACTCTGGGTTTCTGGAGGTCAGCAGGAATGAAGTTTGTTAAAAACATTACCTAAAAACTGCATAAGAATAATCACAAGATGAAAAATACAAAAACACTTAATGAGCTGGCACAGACTTAAAATATATTCTACATGGTGATTGCCTGCCAGTACAGGACAGATTATGAGAAAAACAAAACAAAACAACAAAAGGACAAAACCAACAACAACAACAAAAAACACACACAGAAAAAGGCTTGTCAAGTGGTTGTCAAGAAACTGTCCCGTTAGCAAGTACTGTCACTCACAGTGTTGGAGAGGTGAGCTAAGGCCTTGATGTGAAGCAGCTCATCATAGATGATTTCCAGGTCGTCACCTGTCCTCTGACCAGGCCTATGGACGCACAGAGGTGTGAAGGATGGAAACAGGGTCACAACAAATGTTTGGGTTACACTATACTACACTACTCTCACAAAAATAGAAAAGTTTTATTCATTCATTATGAAAAACATAAGAAATTATTTTAGTGCATGAAATGCCTAAATTATAAACACTCTGCACTGTAAGTTGTGCATTTCGATTGTTACTAACGATTTCCTGAGGATCATGCGCAGCAGTGCGTCGGGGCCAATCTGGGCGAGAAAGAGAATGGTCTCTGGCAGCTCCTCCTCACTCTCTCTCTTCTCATCCTCACTAGGTAAGGGTGTGTCTTCCTCCTCATCATCAAGAAAGCGATAGAACAGATACTTGTCCTGGAAGCCCAGCTCCTGATCCACTGCAGGGCGCATAGGAGCATGAAATTAGACACAAGCAATTTATTTAATATGGATTTAATCATGTCACAACATCTTTCAACTCAACTTCTTTGAAGGTGATGAGATCAAAATTCAATACATTTTTAATGTTCACACTTCAAACATCTAATTAAATACCACTTAGGTTTTCATACAAATATTCTCTCTCATTTGATGTTCAGATCAAAAAGCCCTGAAGGATTGATTCAGACAGCCACATACATGTTTACACACCGTGTGTTCAAATGGAAAAGAGCCAATCCAATCTAGCATGTTAAAACTCTCATGAGCGATCATACTGTCATGCTTTTACAAGTGTTTTTGCACCAGAGGGACTATTTCCAGGCATTTTACTATACAATACTTTCCAACAATAAGAAAGCAGAATTTTGACATTTTGAACTGAGACAAAGTGAAGAAACGGCTGATTTGCAGTACAGAAATGGGTTATACCTGCGGAAACTCACAAAGAACAATGTACGAAGGAGACTCAACACTGATTAATGAAGAAATAAAGTTTCAGATACCGTGATTAAGAACTCCTTCCTCGAGAAGCGCCTGCCACATCCCAACAGCATGGGACCTTGTGAGCACACAGGCACTCTGCAGTACCAACCAGTCCACCAGCTCTGTGCCTACACAGCATTGTCTGCAACATACATGTTAACAAAGAAAATGCATGCACATTACAAAGATTAAAAAAAAGCTCTTTGAGGATATGCATGCTGGAGATTAGTCATAAAAGAACACAACCCGAGCTGTAAACGAATGTGCCTGTACTCATGTACCTGTATGTTTTGAGGTGATACTTCCTGTCACGAATCATGTGCGGCGCCCTTGACAGGACTGCGTTGCGGAGAACTTTTCCTGCTCTCTGCAACTTCTCTGAGGGTATCTATGGGGTTCAAACACAGCTGTGACATGTCTTGTTGTTCTGCGTGAAAAGAATTCTTGTCACAAAACAGTTTGATTTAACCATCAGCTTTGAGGATGTTGAAGTTTGTAATGTAAATGTGTGCACTGTAGCCTTTTTACACACAGTGCAGCAGTGGACCGCTTCTGTAATAAACTGTTAAAAAACTTGCTTTGCATAGAAGGAAACACTTTCCTTGCAGATACCTCTCATTCATATGTGGAAAATTACTAATGAGGATATACACACACATACAGCTGCTATTGAAAACAACAAAGGAAGGCATTTTAATTGGGCAGATGGGCTCTTTCTTTTATGTAAATGCATTAGCTAACATTAGCATAACCACAGATCATCCAAGCTGTGAGTCATCATTGGTCTCTGCTCACTAAACGCGTATCTCTGACATCCACTCAGTTGTTCTGGTTCACAAATGGAAATATGCATCCAATCAGCTGGATTTTATGACACTGTTTTACTCAGGAGAATTAGGCCCCTCTCAGTTCAAATATTTACACCCTTGCTGTTCAAAACATCAATAACACTGATCTACCACTTAATGAGATGCAAACATGTGGTGCTGAAATATCCCTCTAGTATATTCTGTGTAACAAAGAGCAAGGTATTTAAAGGCTAAACAAAGCTGTCTGGCTTCTGATCTTTTTTTAACGCTTACAGTACATGTCTTTTTTTAACACTTACAGTACATGTGGAGGAGGTCATGTTATTTAGTTTTAAAATCAAAGGGAATGGGGACATTCGGAGCATTCACCTTGTTGTGAGCTTTGTTTGCAGAGTCTGAGTTCATGTTTTCTGTGAGTCCTGAAGAGAAAAAAATGTCAGGGTGACACTTTTAATTCCCAAACCTTCAAAAAAGATTTAACTCATGAAATTCTATTCAAGATCGTGACCCGTTTGAGCTTCTTTACACAGTTATTTCTGTGCTAGGTATTAATCAAAGTATAACTTATCTACTCACATCTACCAATATCTGCTGCAAAATTAAACAGAAATATTCAATCATATATGAGTGTGTGTAAAAATCTGTGTATTGACTTACGATCATTATTGGATGCACTCTCCATGGCTCCATAAGGTGGAGCTAGCAGTCCAGCCAGGCTCTGACGATACTTCTACACACACAAATCAGAGTTTCTCTATAAAAAAAAGGATACACCTTCTTTCCCTCATTTACCTCCTTCCTTTTAGTGAAATGCAAGTTGTATGTCCAAACAACCAAAAACCATCCTCTTCAAAGAACTCACTAAGATCTGGAGTCCAGACTGTTCTTGCTTTACTTACACATCATATTGAAATGTGTTTTTGTTCTTTATTATGCCTGCCTGATGAAAAATTAAAGCAGACTGGACCTTTTTGATAGGAGGCCATGGGAACATGCCCCAGTTCCAAGTAAATAGGGTCAAGAACCAAGGAAAAGAAGTCCAGTTGCCATTACTGAACCTGTCACTATGCCACTCTTTTGATCTGCTGTGACCCGGTATAATCTTGCAGGAGTTGTAATGAGCATGAAGTAAGATCATTTGAAGCAACAGCAATAATGAAGGAGACAATTATTTCTTATCATTTCTTTTAAGGTGCAGCTGCATCATGCACATCGTGCATGAAAGAGTCCGACATACACGGTGGTGTTAAGACACAGGGATTTTTCAGAAGCAGTCAGAGATGTATCAATCCATGTTGCAAGTTGACAAGACATGATAATCAAATTTTTAGATCATGGTGATGGACTATATCCCTTTGAAAATATGTTTTTAAGGTAGTATATGAAAGAAAATAATTTCATTTTAATGCATTTCACACATAAAGCTAAGAGTGAGTCACTGTGTGTATTCCACATAAAATTCATATGACCAAATAGTGTATTGAAATAATACTGCAATTAGAGCAAATTTATGGTCATAGTTGCTGAAATGTTTTTTTGTGTGTGTGTGTTATTGTGTTCACAGAAAGGGGAACAGAATACTGAGCTTGAAACAAAAAGGAGGTGGACAAAGAAATGGAAGCAAAATGAACTGTAAGGACAAATAAAGGAAAAAACAGGAGACAGGTGAAAGACAGGATGGAATTATGTATTCTGTATTTTTTGGTTTCAGCCGTCGCTGTACGACAGCGGCAGTAACAGCTGGATTAGTAAAGTAAGTTCATGTAGAACATCATATTATACATTTTATACATGGAGTAGGCCATTCTACTACTTCATGTCTGCACTGGTGCACCAGTATTTGATATAAGAAATATAAGAGGGTTTTTTTTTTATCAAAAAATGTGCTAGTAGACTCCTAAAGTAAATATCTGAATTTGTGAATGAGTTTAGAACAGGATTTACATATTAAACATTGAATCCGATTAATGCTCTGATTTCCCAAAAGCACACAATGTTACTTTACCACAGAAACTCGAGTGCCCCTCAGCACAAAGCCTTTTGTACAACCAAGATCATTTATATGCAGAACAACTAACATTATATAATACACACACACACTAACAGCAGCTGGACTAAAACTGCACAGATAGTAAGTGTGCACAGATGCTGTCCCTACAGCTGTTAATGAGCTGTGCTCTCACGTTTTTGCTGCCCAAGTACATAAAGACGCACTGCAAATTGTTTTGAGCTCAAATGTGACACTTCTCTCCTGTGAGGTCATTGTCAAGCAACCCATCCTTTCTGAGGACTACCAGTAACACAAACACTGGCAAAGAGTGAAACAGAGAGAGCATCTGTTTGGACAACAGACACAAGCACTCCCCTCTCCATGTGCCACTGACACACAATAACACACAGAGGATAATGGAGCCATGAACAACCAACTAACAATTAACCAAATATTAAAGATGGACAGAAAAAAAGTGACAACAGAAACAAAAAACAAGCACATCAGTCCTGCCCATTTACACGCTGCAGAGCAAACACAGTTACAGGCAAGAGTCATACTTACCTGAGCAAAACAGTCAGCTGGCTAATGCTGGAGGGACTGAAACCCAAAAGAGTTGCCCTCTGCTCCTTTACAACTGACACACACGCCACCGGATAGCATCCTGCTCAAAACAAGCTGCTACCCTTCTTTCTTTCTGCTTAGCTCTTCCTCCCTTTTACTCACACAGTCGCCCTAGTGTCTGCCTCCGTCTCTCCCTCGCCCTCCCTCACAGTGATTGAGCCAACAGCCAAAGCACTTTGCCTCACAGGTTACCAGGGTGATCTGAGCCTGTGTATTGCTGAGCTACTCCAGTTGTAGAGGATACAAGGTGGAGGGGTGAGAAAGCAGCCAAGGAGTAGACAGGAGCAGTAAGTGTGAGGATGGAGAAAGAAGAGGGCAGGAAGAGAGGAAGGAGGCTGGCAAAGAAACATTGAAAACAAAGCACAGGAAGCAGGAAGAGAGGTACAAGTGAAAAGGGGTAGAGGAGTAAAAAAGAAAAGAGAACTAAAGAGAGAGAGGCTCATAAGGGCAGACAGCCCACAGTACAGGCCAGCCAATCACCAGCAATAATTGCTAGCAGGGCGTCTACTCATCCCACCGTCACTTGGTACTAAAATTATAAAGCGGCACTTCTTTTCTTTCATCCTTTCATCAAACACACAACTGCATTCATCGTGCAGCTTTCTGGTCCTTGAAACGCACAAGCACATGCGCACAAATTAGTCAGCGCACACTAACACACAAATAAAACACAAAGCTCCTTTTGCGATGAGCTGGATAACACTCAAAAGAGACCAACCTCAAGCTATGTTTTCTGCTTTGTATCCACTGCTTGGAAAGAGATGGCAGATAGGGAGCCAGAGTGCACTTAGTTGACAAACAAACACCCGACATCACACATGCTTTAATATACAATTATTGTCTTATCTGAGTCTTACATGACCATCCTGCATAAAATGGAGATACCATGTTTCAGAAATGTTATTACTTTCTACACATCCACCTACAAAACCGAATAGCATGTTGTCTCAGTGTTACAGATAAATGTGTTTCACACTGATGAGAGCAGCAAAACAAATGAATATGCGCAGGGATTACAGTAGAGTTCACCCTGAAAGACGCTGATTTTTTTATCTTCTTATACCGACACCCTCTGTTTACAAAAAAAAACACACAGTAGTACAACATAACAAAACGTACAAACCAGTACCAGCTAGTGCATCGACCAACGGCTAAAGTTCCTAATATAACGTCAGAAAGCCACACTGAAGTTATTGAAACACATACAACCTCATAGTAGACCAAGCACACCAAATCTGGCAGGTGACTGTGCCCACACCATCATAACAATACAACACAAACCATTAAAAAAAAATCAATACAATACAATACATAAGAAATGGATGCATGTTGTATCCATGCCCCCATAAATTATAACCATTTTGGCCTGATTCAGCATTGGTCAGGTGGTTTTAATTTTTGTCTGATTATTGTAGTTATTAAACATACATATATTTCAGAAGGCACTCTGGTGTCCATGTGAATCAGAACTAAATAAAACTAATTAATTAATAAGAGTTTATTATATCAAAGGGAAAAGCACCTTTTGGACATTTGACAACACAGAGAGACTGAATTCCTTATAAACCGGCAGGTCAGACCATGCTGCTTAAAAAGAACCGATCCAAGACTTCCTCTCTGAGTGAGACCCTTCAATGAAGGCAGTAACCTCACCATGGGAGGCCCACATACAGGCAGCCACCACATTGCCAGCTCTGAAAGAGGGTGCCAGTTTACAAAGCCAATGCCATTTTAACATTGATTATTTTTATATCTATTTGTAGCAACGGATATATGGCTGATCATAATGTGTTTTCATCACAGCCTTACCAGAGAAATGTTGCACCCCTTTTGAGACTGCAAACTATATCTTTTACTTCATAATAACTGTAAATAAACTGACCCTAACGCTGTATCTGAATATGTCATTAGAACTTCTTCTTTATAGTACAAGGCTCTTCTGCAAATTCAGTCATATTTATTCTATATACTTTTAACTTCTTGAAAAATAACCTCACATATAATTTGATTCTATTATCTATTATCTAATAATAATAATTTTTATTTTCAATTGTTTAAGAATATTCACATGATGTGCACTTCCCTAATAGTTAGCTGGGCCCTGAGGAACATCAAAAAAAGCAAGGAGAGTGAATCAGAGTTAAACAGTAAAAACGCAGTATAGAAATAATGTAATCTCCTGATTTCTTTCTGTCACTTTCTGCATGTCACATTGCTAAGACACCGTCCATTCTTCAAAGATCTTTTTTTTCTCGTAAATCCATTTGAATCACAACACAAAATAAGAGGCACCAGTTACGTGTGCCGTACATAGAAGCTGCTCCCTCTGTTCTTTAAATAACTCCCTGTTGAGTTGCCTGAGGTGTGAATCTGATAGGTCCTCCTGTGTGCATAATGGGTGATAGCCCTCTTGTGGTTACAAAGCTCAACTACAACAGAAGGTTGTATGAAAGCAAGTCTCAAGAAAGAAAAAAAAACTTGCATCCCTTTGTGCTTGTCCTTTTTTTGTCTACTCAGTTTTGTATCTCACCTCCCAGAGGGTCTTGAACTCCCTCTGTTCAATCCGGAGAAGCTCGCTGGTCTCTCTGCTGACAATAGTAGCATGGCGAGGTGTGTTGTCCAGGATGGACTCCCCAAAGGCCGTCCCGATCCCCAGGGTGCAGATAGTGACTGCATCCTGCACACAAACACGGCCTAAATGTTTAAACTGTGGCTGTAACAGATTACAAAGCAGTTGCACACATGTGAAATCATACTGTTGTAAGTACAGCACCGCAAAACAATGCAATGTAGTTAATAAAAAGTAATATGCAAATAGGGGGGTTCCTATAAAAGAATCACCAAATGCAAAAGCAAGCTATGTGGACACACCAACACAGAGGCAGACACAGGCACTGTGCACTGTGCACTGATCCAGACAAATTTTCTGTCCGCCATTATCAGCTGCCCAAACTGACATTTCAAATATAGCCACAAAAACTGGGCCACCAATGGCACTTTAGGGCTACATTCATGAAAAGGATGCCTCACAATAGAGAAGCTTCTTATTTATGTCTTTCACTTGGAGCAAATCCTCTCTTCCTCTTCTCCCACATACCATTCTTCTCCTCTGTGGGCACTGAATAAACCTATTTCCACACTGTTCCTGCGAGGGCTCCTGGTTTAGCAAAATGCACAATACTTGGCTTATTTGTTTTCTTTGCTGCGGCAGCTTTGCTCCGACACGTTTAAGCAGGGACACTTGACCTACTAAAACTAGACCACGGTTAGCATAGAGGAAAGCCGGACAACACTTGCTCTTCGATGCCTGGAGCAATTGGAACTGACTATGGGCCAAAATGCAATGAAGAGTATCAATAATCCTTTGAATTCAAAACGTATTTGCGGTTTAAATGACTGACAGAAAACAGAGTACAGAGAGGACACCGCAGCACATGTGGAAATGTATCTTCACTGATCTTACCTGGTGATTGGCGGTTTCCGACACTTTCACATCCAGGGAGCCAGACAAGACGGCATACCAACTGGTGCCTATGTCTCCCTGCCGGAACACTGCAGACAGTTTTTTACACTTCAGAATTCATAGTAAAAACACATTCTGCTACCTCATAATATCCCTATGGTCATCTATGCTTTGTAGAAGAAACACAATCCAATTATAGTTCTGTGCTCCAGATTAGTTTTTAGATTTGACTGAATACGTTGGCCGTGTTTAATCGGGGTCACATTTTTTTATTCTAACTTGTTTGAGCACATTGTTGCAAAGCATCATTCCATGATTGATGCGTGAGAGAGAAAAAAATCACTGAACACTTCCTTTTTAAATGAAAGACTCCTACAAATTGTGTGATGGAGGACTGTTAAAGGACCACAGAATGAGACTGTTCCAATGGGTCGGTCTGAGACACAGAGAAACAGAGCCAGTGGTTAGCTTGAAACCAGTGTAAGCAGAAAAACTGTAGTTGAGCATGTGACTGTTAGTCATTCTCCAGCTGTGCGTCTGCAGAAATGGCACAACAGTACTCAGGCTAATGCAGATCGCCTCGGGTCAGGTCGGCCCCATATGATGACCGCTCATCAACATGAAGAAAATTGTCCACCAGCATGTGCCAACATCACAAATTAAGTGCTGTCTCTGCTGTGACCTCCAGTTTCAGACAATCTTGGTGGAAAATATTAATGTTATTGTCTGTTTTACATGATGCTCCATTTGCATAAAAATGTTTTTTCCATCTTATCAGTTTATTTCAATAAGATAGCAGTCACATTCATAATCATCTACCCTTACCGGAGAAGAAACCAAATGTATGTCACTATTACAAATGTGGAGGTTTTTCACATGTGTATACAAATACCATGAAATCTGATGTGTGTCTCTTGGAAATTATTTTGATATTCACTTTTAGACATTTCATATTTAGAACTTTATACAATTTAACTTAAAAAAAATTGACAAAATAACTTAAAACACAATAATCCTTAGGAAAGATGTCTCTAACTGAAACAAAGTAGGGGCATCACTGTCCTCAAGCACAGCATATTGAACAATGCACGGCCTATTCACTATTCTGTACTTGTCAATTCAGTTCAGTCATAGACAACAGATGTACTCCAACAGAAAATCACCCACAAATCATTTCATAATCCCGCAGAATTGCATGTTTGTGTGTCCATGTACATACACGTGATGCCTTTCTCAAGGCATTCATAGAAGGCACAGGCACAGATCTGTAGTAGCAGAGGAGGTGGAAACCTCTGGAAGGCTTTGACCTCTCTCAGTCTGGTTAGAATAATGTCCACATCCTCCCCTGAACGCTCTGCGGGCCTGTGCAAAAAGAAAAAAAAAGAGAGCCTCCATTAAAGGTGTAAAACACAGACAGAAATGGATTTTGTCCAAAGATGGTTTTTCTGTATTATGTGATGTTGTACATTGGGATGGATTATTTCTCTCATATAATTACATTTGTGCCCGAGGGCCACAAAATCAATCAAAGCTGTGTAGTATGCTTTAATTAGCTCTAGCCTAATGAGAAATATTTTAAATGGCCATCCAATGACTTAAATGATGAGAAAAATAAACTAACTATAGCATTGTCCTTTAAGCAAAAAGCTATGTATAATGTTTTGTAAGTGTTTTTGTGATTGTGTTAGAGCATGCTAGCCTTTTTGTTCTGTTCAGTGTCTTGGCAATAGGCGCAGAAAGCTGCAGGCATCATTTCTATGTGCATGCCTCCCCCCCCCCCCCCCCCCCCCCCCCCCCCCCCCCCCCTTCTACTATTTCGTATACACTTAAATCTAAGCTTGCTTCAAGTTAGGTTCTTGGTGGTGATCTACAGGGGTGTGCAGGCATGGGAACACACAGGGCTGTGAGCTGAGAGATTAAGCATTCAATTTTGCAACGCGGTAGTGAAAAACTCCAAGCCAAAACATCTCACACTAACACACTCTGCAGTCGGCACTCTGCTCATTCACTTATTTTCTGTTTGCTGGTGACTCATCCACACACGTGTGCGTGAGTATGTGTGCTTTTGTGTTCATGCAGAATAGCTAATGAACTGAGGGCTTCTTCCTTCACTGTCTATTTCCAATCCCCCTCAGCTCCTTTTCCTTCCCTCACCCCCAGCGTTTTTCTTTTTCGTCAGCCTACTCTACGCATCTCTCTAAAATCCATCTATTTTCCCTTCAATACATGTGTATTTCTCTTAGGTCATGATATGTAAGACAGAAAACACCCAAATGGCCCACTTAATTATCATTTTCTTCTCTAAATTACCGGCATGGATTTTTTTCTGTCCATTAAGTCTTGTCGCTCCATTAAAACCTCCTTATAATTGCTTTGCTTGTGTATTGCAAGCTCAAATCCAGAAACAACTCCTGTTTTATTCATATGTCCATATAAAAAGAGTAATAAACACCATCATATGTGTACCCCTTAGCGGTGGAGAGTGACAGTAAAACATCTGCCATAAGATAAGGTCAATCACAAATGGATCTCTTCATTTTTCTTGGCACTTTTTTTGTCTCTGACTCATCATCATCCACTTTCTGTCTGCTTATTGGCCCACAGCGCTGAGACAAAGCATCTCAGTGTAGACTGAGGTAATAGGTTACAGGGGGACTCCAACACATTACAACAGGGAGAGACCTGGAAGTTAACTTTGCTGGGTTCAATGAGTAACAGTAATAAAATTTAAATCCATCTGTGAAGACACCCTGATTAAACTTCCCCTCTGTATATTTTTCAGCATTCTGTCTGCTCCAAGGAATACTTCTTCTGGTGTGATATGAATATGACCTGAGAGGCATTCACCTTGCATCTCCCTCAATGCTTCCTGCTGTCTACCTTGACTTCTCCCTCCTCAGCTCCCCCTTCAACACACAGCTAATGTCAGCAAAGACTTAGCTTCCAACCACATATTATAGCAACACATATACACACATACAAATCAACAGGAATGGAACACCGACGAGGGAACTGTGAGACACCAGAAGGTGCTGCAGCCTGTTTGAGGGGAAATCCTTCTGATAATAAGGCACTGCTTGTATATAAATACATCGTAGGTTAAGCTGTTATTTATATGGAAACAAATTTCTTAATATTGAAGAAAGGAATTTACTGCAACAGATATATTTTTGAATGAATGGGTGAGGCACACTTGACACATTTCTTCATTAAGACTGACAACCTACCTAATACAGCTAATAAAGCTCAGGCAAAACACAGCTCAGCTGATGATATAACACACCAAAATGACAACAATCATTCCGCACTGTAAATTTTTAACACTGCTGACATGATTATCCTCCTGACCTGAAGAATCCTCTGACTGAACACACTTCAGCACTGTTTGATTAGTCCAGTTTGGGCATTATTGTCCATTTTGTTAATTTTCTTGTGCAGTGCAAAAAGCTTCAGAGTTGTGCCCACACAATTAGTTTGTTTAGTTTCTTTGATTCACTGGCTCTCATGCTGCTGTCCAAATCAGTGGCTGCAAAGCAGACATATCATAAATGTACCCCAAAGGTAAAAGGTCTATGATGTCTTCATGTCGTATATCAACATCTATTATGTATGTATTACACTAAAAGCTTAAGTCAGGCACAAATTGTCTTTTATGAGTGGATTTTGATAAGACCCACTACTTCTGTTTGTCATTTTAAAGTCATAAGTGCTGATCATATGTTATTTTTTTCTTGTAACAAGATATATGAAATCTAAATTTTCGTTTGAGGAAAATAAATTAATAACAAAGTCTTTAATATCATTACCTCTGTCCATATTTCACATTTTCCACACCCCACCCTCATGCTTAACATCCTCACATCAGTGATGATGGATGAAAGCTGTATACACATACGTAGATACAAATATTCCCAGTGCCACAGTGCTGAATATTGATTAAATAAGATATCTTAAGAACACTGAGTGCTGCACAATAAGATCCTGACCTGACCATCCCATTCATATTGACTTCCACTTTGCACTCTGGAACATAGTCAACACTGCACCACAGTGCATTACGGTTGATCTTTTAATCCTAATCACAAAACAGAAGGAAGGAAACTCCACTTTGAAATTCCAATCCATACGAAATTATTGTTTGAGAAATCTTTTCAAAAAGAATGTTAGTATCCGCTTCCCAAGTTTGAATGTCCAGTGGTAATCTGTTATAACTGGCAATCGGTTTTGTTGCCCAAACAATTAGAAAAGAAAAGCATGATCAAATTAATCAACAACAAAGTACAAGTAGTGTAACAAGTGGCGGCCAGCCCATAGGGGGCGCTGGGGCGCCGCCCCCCCTAGATGTGGAGGGGGAAAGTTATAATATATATATTTATTTTTAAAGTATTATCAATGTCAGTTTTACTTAATAATATGTGGCTACATGTAATATGAATTATTAAAACAACACTTCCACCAACTGACTCTCATTCAACGGTGCATTTTCACCCACAGAACGTATCGTCTCTCTTCTGGGGCGCTAGCCCCAAGCGCCCCAGAAGTGCAGCGAAATAACCAATTGAAAAATGTTGCTAGGGACAATTAATAAATATTTGGCCAATCAGCATCGCCGAAATTATTGACGTGTAGCTAGTGGTCAGTCAGGCTGTGACGTAGAGATGACGGTTGAAGAGCTGCTTTCACACAATTCAGTGAGATCTTTACTGAGATCTCCTTACGTAAGAAGGACAATGGTGGAAAAATTAAACGTAAAGAAGCTGGGACCTGACAAGTCCGAAATAAATTTAACGCAGCGAACCAATGAAAAAGCTAAGTCCCACAGCCGGCCTTTTAGCAGGAGCTGGTTCCAGCGTGAGTCCTGGTTGACAGCCGGTGGGACGGCCAACGCAGTTATGTTTTTCCCGCATCCTTTTTAAAAGTGACCGGAGTGATTTGACGTGGACACAGTCTGGACAGACAGACTTAAAACACCTCTCTGAACAACTAAAAACATGAAAGATCACGAGGTTATATGGAAAACTGTGTTAAGCTAACTGTGTTAAGCTAACCACCTGTGTGTCTACTTTGTGTGTTTGGTGAAAAATAGTAAAATTGAGTGTTGTATTTCATACTGTTCCCTTCCAAAATAATACCTAATATAGCTTCAAATGGTTAACTGTATATGTAAACTGCTGATTCTAATAAGGGAATTAAATCATTATTGTGGAATTGTACTAATTTTACGACTTTTAACTTGAATGCATGTACTGGGTTAGGCAGGGAAATATATTGGCACACCAGCCCCACCAATATTTTTTTTCACCAGCCGCCACTGAGTGTAACAGTACAGCAAGTTCATATCAGGCAGCAGCTCTTACTCCAGATGTGGATGAGAGGACAAGATGGTAGCTTCAGGTTGCCAATGGTAACAAGATGATGTGTCTGGGAGAAGTGGGACCAGCGTGTGAGCAGTAGGGTGCAATTATTATGTATTGCTGTTTGCCTTATTCTATAATAATCAGTGGGCAGCTTCTTTATTTAAGGCATTGCCCTTGGAAGCTTTTTTGTTTTATAGTGTACTATCGAACGACACTATTGAACATTTGCCTTGGCATCATGGACAAATATACTACAGCTTTAAGAGTGTTGCTGATGAGAGATGTTACTCATTTTGTAAATTGACTGCTCAGCTAATCTGTCCGGTCACAGGAGACAGCCTGCCATGCAGAACCGTGCAGAACCCCCCCCCCCCCCACCACCACCACCACCACCACCACCAAAAAAAAAAGAAATACTACACTGACTTGCTACCTTTGCTGTGAGGTGAACACCAACGCACGCGCTACAGTTGCATTTAAAATATGTATGGCAATTTAGACTATGCAGACTGTCAGCGACCATGTGCGTCCATCCATGTGCATCTATCCATCCAGTGCAGACACCCCGCTGAACCTCCAGGCCACCAACGCCTTTTTGTCCGGAGACACTCCGGAGACACAGGAATTATTTCCCCTAAAGGACGGTGTGCATTGTTGGGTACCTACTGCAGTGTGTAAATCTCTGATAACAGAACTCTACGATAACAAAAAGGTAAATACAAGATACGAAAGAAAAAAAAACCTATTCATACAAAAGACAATTAGGCGTATGGAATTATTATAAGTGCACACTCACGCCGAGATCGCCGGTTGTGATTAATCACGGTTCAGAATGAATGAGCCAGCCTGCGACGGCGTGGCCGTGAGTCGTGTGTCGTTTTTTTTTTACCCACCTTTTATCTAGACAGCAGATCCACTCTGCCGACGGAGACGAATTGGGGGATGTCTGCACTGCGACCATCTTCCCCGGCTGCGTGTCGCTGTGATGCTACCGTAGGAGGCTTTTCCAGTTGTCGGTGGTCGGTATTGAACGTGAGCTCCCCTCCCCTCCCCTCCGCTCTGAGCTGCCTCACAGAGCCAGACTGCTGCTGGAGCCGTGGTCTGCGTATCACTGGATTCGCCTAGCCTCATTGGGCATTTTCCCCAAGGTATATGGAGGGACTACAAACAGCATCAGTCACAGGAAGGTTAATAGCTAGGGGTGGAATAAAAAACTTTACCTTACTGAAATTGCATTGGTCAAAACTTATAACTATGAAGGTGTTCATATATTAAACAGCAACAGTTTGTACTTGTACATGCATTTCAGGCCATGTTATATTGGAAATTCCAAAAAGATTGCAGGCACAGGGTAAAATGTTTATTCAAACTGAATGCAGTGATTGCACATTAGAAGTTATCTTTTTCACAATGCAAGATAGAAAGCATAATTTATGTTGATATGTTGAGATATTTTACTATTTGCACATCTTGATCCAGATTGCAGCAGAACGTCTCAAAAAGGAGGCTACAGGAACATATTTACCACCCAATGAAACTATTCTTCCTCTTTCAGCAGCAGTCTGTAAAGATCGGTGAACAGTTAGTCGACCCTTGGGAAAAAATTACTCTACCATTCTAGTGTAGATAATATTTGTGGCATTGTGGCTGTTTCTTAATCACATTTAGGGTTTTAAAATGCAAATTAACTGTTCTCAACTGGTGAAGGATATGAAAAAAAATCCTTAGTGCAGGCAGGCCATTTCAGCATGATGATTCCTGCTACCAGATGTAGTGTGCGAATCGATGCGGAAAAATATGTAAGGCCTTCCCTCACGAAGATGTTGCCTGAGAGTATATGTTGCTATAAAATCTGCTTATAACGCAAGCATTTCATGTGCAAGTTAGCAGTTTTCTAGCAGCCTATACTCGTTTGCAGGCTTTGGATTTATTGCTGACAACAAGCCAGATAGTCCCTGTCCTCATTATTGTGGAAGACAAATCATTCGTAACTTTTAAAATCAACTTATTGTCAGACCACAGAAATGCTTACCAATTTGCTGGTTTTTAAGTATCTCTGGGTCTCGTTGACATATGGCTTCTTTGCATTACCTTTACAAGACAGCAATTTCTTTCCTGAGCCCACGCAGGGATTTCCATTTTTAATGCAGTGCCACATGAGCACCCAATGATCATGGGCATTCAGTAAATTAAATATTCATAGGAGTGTACTTAAATGTAGGCTAAAGCTTTGGTTATATTATATTTTACAACTTTGACTAAGTGGTAATTCTTTTCTGAATGTGTTGCTTTTCTTTGTTTTTTTTATTTTTGCAAACTACTGAACTTCTGACCATCTTTACTTCAAGGAGACACTACCTCTCCAAGGTGCTCTTTTAATCACCACACATGTACTTGGCTTGCTGCCACCTAACTTTAACATTTACAACGTGTTCCTCCATTAAATTCGAGGCTGTACGTAGGTTCAACAATACAGATAAACACATTTATAGATAATACACCACTGCCTTCATTTTCTAATCTCTCTAAAAAAAAAAATTGTTTTAAAGATGCCACAACTGGTGTGCCAGTGAAAAGAATGCAGGAAAGCTAAACCCAGAGACTCTTAAAATTTCAGTTTGTGATGTATTGCTTATTATCCCAGTCATTCGGAGGCAAAAACTGACACATATGCCTTACTTAAATAAAATGTAAGCAGTTTTTTGCACAAAGTGTTGTGCAGGGTTAGGGTTACAAAATGGGTAACACACATGCTGATTAATGTCATAAAGGACAGTATATGAGTTAATTAATGTCACATGTCAAAAAGGAAAAGGAAAGGATGCGGGGCCATATAGAGTTTCAAACACATTGTCACAAATACAGAACATTTAATTCACCTATTCAGACTAAATCCGATATCCTGGTATGTTCAGGTAATACTGACATACTATGGCGGGTGGTTCTGCTATCTCTTTTCCTGGGCATTGTGCTGAGGGTTTACAGTATAAGTTTGTCGTTTTAAAGTGTTTTTGTGGAAACATCTCTCCCACTTCAACATCGGCTTGTTCAACAAAACATTACTATTACAACTACTATAGAATTACTATTGCTGTACTGCCCTCAAGGCATCCTTCCAGGCTAAATCAGCTGCTGTGTAAATGGAATGTGTGTCTTGGAAATTTGTGTAAGCATATTCTGTCTCAGAGTTATATGTCACCTTCTATGCTCTGTGAGCTTCAGGTTTCATTGTGTGATAAGGAGAGGCATATAGATTAGGGTTGGGCCCACGGGTGATCATATTACCATGCATGAAAACAATGAGTCAGGGATTGTGATGCCCGCTCTCTTCTGCTTCCGCTTTGCTATCATTTCAAACAAAGTGCCACAAATGCCAAAAACAACAGAGGGCAGGGGAACAACACATTAGCAGCTTCACAGCAGGTGAGGACCTCAGTACGATATCAATAAACAAATGTGGCCAGGGAGAATGCCTATAAGCTATCATAGGACACTAGCACCAGATTATAAAGTATGACTTAGCAAATTGTTCCGCAATATTACTATTTTGAACACATTGGCTTGTAACATGATTTTGAGCCACATAACAGTTTTATTGGTATTAAAGCAACCATATGAGGTAAGTGGTATAACAAACTGCATTTGAAGACTGCCTTTGTATTCCCTGCCTTTTATGTGCGTCAATTAAAATCAGTGCAAGAAGAAACTACTGTAGCCTTGAAGGATTCGTCATGTGATGTATGAAAATAAACAAAGAAGCATTCTTTTCACATGTTCTCCTTAAACCCAACATGAGCATAATGCGGGGACGGCAGGGACTTAGCCTATCACAAGGATGACCAGGATGACTTCTGCAGCCACCGCAGCAAAATAGGGAAGACAGGATAAGGAGGAGCACAAAGGTTATAAAAAAAACTCAGAGCTGGAAGAGTCCAATGGAAAAAAAGAGGGGAAAACAAAGGAAAGACGAATTTTGGATTAATTCCTCGTCATTTTTAGCATTGAAAAACAAAGTAAGGTCAGATAAATGGAGCAAAACAGTTTGAGACAGGATGAATGAGAGATGAGAATTGCTGCTGTGTTACAATTCCCTTTGTTTTGAGTTTTTTTTTAACTTATTATCTAGCACTATGACAACACTGACATTTTTAATTTTCGTACATCAGGTAGAATCTGTCTGAATGCATAAAGAACCTGTTGCAGTTAGGTGTCTGTGTAGACTTTACGCTTACCTTACCGCATTTGTTTAAAACCGCTCAACAGCATGCTGACTGCTAGAGGGAAAAAGAACAAGTTTTAACCAGACTGTTAGTCTGAAGTTAAAGAGCTTGATAACTAAGGTGCTTTTAAAGTAGTTCACAATTTGAACGAGCATCACTTGTAACTTGTAGGATGCTGCAGGTGCGTACCGCCCCCATGATACTGCCTTTGACCAAATACATTTTGAAAAGGCTTGGAGCTATATTCCGAAACATACTGCTGCATTGGTGGAAGATAGACAACCCTTTCCTCTTCATAAGTGAAGTGTGTCAGCGCCAGCTGGTTCATGAGGCCTTATGTCCTTTTTTCTTTAAAAAGGGAAAGAAAAACAGACGCTTAATTAAAAATGAACAGTCATAAAAAGAAAACCACTGACTCACATGAACCGATTTAACACATCTAAACAAACATTTTTGTCCATTTGAGGCACATATAAGACAAATTTAAACCGTAACCAAAGCCTGTATCAAAAACACATTTCTTTATGATGCAGAATAGTTTTATCATATATATTTCACCTTCGCATTATTTGAATTTAAATACACTCATTGATGATTTTCTTGCTGCATGTGCAGTACATGATTCTAGACACAAAGTGGCAGTATCATTGTGTGTTGATTAATATCTGAACAAAAAACACCACTTAGGAGTCACAACAAACCAATTCATTATGAACCTAATCCAAGGATGCATTACGCTGATGTGCACTTAACCCAGCTGTGTGTCGCCTAGAGAGAATCTATGAGCATCTGTGTTAAAATGTTCACAAGACTGAAAGCAATTTCCACGTGAAAATTACAATCTGTGATTATGGTTGACTGTGCAGATAACCATATGTGTCGACTTGTCTGCCAAATGCTGCCTGCATGACAAAACACTTACACAGATATCACCAAGTAAGAGACCAAAATAAAAAGACATCTGTCCTTTTCTTTAAATTTGGCCGGAAAAACGGAGGATTCCAAGATAAACTATTAGGTTATCAGAGAAACTACCAACAGCAAACATTATTGATTTTTTTAAAGAGCCCCTTGGAAAGGCAAAGTTTAAGAAGTACAAATGCATACACACTTTATATTTGTCATAATTTAATGTCAATAGTACCAACAAAAGATTCAGTGAATCATCAAGAATATGTGCCTGCCTTTACAAAATGTGGAGAACTTCATCACTCCTCCTGCTGCACGAAAGTTTAAGACCATAATTAACCACACACCCAAACTATATGGCCGTGTTTTGATATAACCCTATGAAAGTAAAAATGTCAACCTGAAGCAGTTGCAAGACAATGCTCCTCTCTAAAGTCTAAGTAACTTATTGCTGGAGGAGGGAAATAAAGACTATATTTGATCATGCAAAGATCATGGATTTCTTATCTTATTTAACATCGGTCATAAGGAATTTGTTTTCATTCAACACCATATATCAAAGCTGTGATTTACTGAGAGACTCAAATACAGTTTTTCACTTTTTTGCCTCTCACATTTCAGACTTAGGTGCTGCCTTCATTGGACGCCTTTATCTGCCCTCCCCCTTATCTTTCTTACAGTTTCTACCTCTCCAACTTTACTTTTCCACCTGACTCGACGTCATTCCCTCAGTGTTCAACTCTGCTTCTATTCAATGTCCCTCCTTACCTCCCTCTCTTGGTTAGCCTCATTCAGACGAAGGCTTTTGTGATTGGCCAGTATTTATATCAAGTAGGTCCCAGTGCCACCTGGGACAATGGTCTCCAGTCAGATCCAGGTCACAGCGAGCAGAACCACTCTTCGACTGTGCATGGATCAGTCCAGTCCAGCGGAGTCCAGTCCATCTGCAAGAGAAAAAACAGCCTCACAGACAGAAAATAGGTACCGAACCTATTCACCCACTGCACTGGCAGACACACTCACAGGTAGGCAGACACATAAATCAGCAGGTGCTGCATCACTGCTACGGCTTGCCTTGCACACAGGTAGCCGGTGGGAGATTTGGCTGGCTTCACCAACCTGTGTAGTGCACACAGAAAAAACACCCATGGGGCTGGCTTTTGAGCCCTGGCTATGTTCTTAAGAGGGACATGGACATCTTACAAGATGGGTGACAGTTAAAGGTAAGTGGATGTTTTCCACAGAGAACTGTGAAAACCAATGACCTCCATCCTGTGTAGAAGTTTAGGTTACAGTGTTCTGCATATGCTTTCAGATTTGTCCACTTTAGAGAGAAAGGCAATGACGAGTAAAGCATATATGCAGCATCATTAGCACAAAACTAGCTTTTCAACTGACATTTTAAATAATGGCAATACTAAACTGAGAAAAACACAATAGGGAGCAATAACATTTAACAAACTGACAGGACTTCTTGTTGAAAGCAAATTAATTACGTGATGCGTATATTATTACTTGCTCGGGAAATTAAGGCTACCTTGCCTCTGTACTGGTACCCACTCGCGACCAGTGTTTTACAGTTACTGGAGTAGTTTACACAGGATTACCAGGGGATAATCCATTTACAGTATTTAGAGACATGAGTCGCCATCTGTCTGTATTTATCTCAGCAAGAGAGCCGTCACCGCCGTCTGACTCAAACAGGCAGCCCGGCAACCCGGCAACGGTTTAACGAAACTGTCAAGACTAGAGTAAGAAATTAGCTTTTTTATATACTGCTTAATTATTATTTTTTGCTCCTGTTTGTTAACCTTCCGTCAAAGCACTCGACCTTTGAAGTGCGCGCGCAGTTCAGAATGGTTTCTAAGAGATATGTTGCCTTCAGGCGCTCTGGTATTTTTTAAAACCCTTTTTTTATGCACCACATTTAGTCTGGAACATGATGCCAGAAACTGGGTCCAGACACCATGCGCGCTTACAATATAAGGAATGAGCAAAGACATCCTAGTAAGGTTAAATTAAGTTGGCAAATTAATTTGGCATGTTGTATAAACAATCACAGTTTGCTTTGTACTTGCTTTGTATCCTCATACATTTGAAACATAAAGAATTAAGCTGAATTGGAAGATGAGCGAAATATTACGGTTACAAAGTGGTGATGGTTTATTTGACCGGTTTGCGCTTATAGCCTGAATCCCTTACTTTTCCGACAGTACTGGAACGCTCAATTAGCAATCACCTGTATGGGACGGTAAACAAGATAATTGTGAATACCTGTGTGAAGCAGATGAGGAACAAAACCGTGTTGGCTGCGTTTTTGGATTGTTTACGTCGCTCGTAATGTAAATCGTCCAAATGTTAACGACATTTGTTTTTGTTTTCATTTAAACAGCGAACATAAAGTTCGCTCTGGCTGTAAAATAAGTTGTAGGTTAGTTTTGCTGTTGAGCTAGAGGATGTAAAAGTCAGAGGTGTTTGCTGAACAATTTAAGAAGCCCTGTTTTATACGAAATGTTCGTTATGAAATTGTTTTCTGTGAATCTGTAAACCTGTTCACCTTAATGATTCTATTGCCCTCTTCTTTATCCACTCTTCTAGGTGTAGAGGGATGGTGATGATTCATTGAAGAATCTAGTCGTTGGACAGCTGGCAGCTCCAAGAGCTTTTCTTCTGCAGCTGTTATCAGACAAATGCTGCACAAATTTAAAATACTAGCTTTAATGTGAAGCATTTCTGGCCTTCCTGCAACCATTCCACTGCACCAGCAAATTCTCAGAAGTTGCCTACCTGCTCTACAGTTGCCCAAGTGCTTTCCTTTTGCATAAAAAAGGCTTTTCCCTCAGCTTCTGTACAGCTTTCTCTCACTTCAGAGAGGATCTGTCCCCAGATGATGCGGACAGAAATAAGAGGCCGAAGTGCCTCCCCTCACAGGATTACTTACAAATCTGACTTCCATGCTATCAAATGCTCATTCGACACTGGGGCTTGTCTACGGTCAGGGACCAAAGCAGCTACTGTCACAAAGCAGTCTGCTGTGCAACCAAAAAAACTGTTATCCTGCCTTTCAGATCCCATTATGTCCCACACCAGCAGAAGTAGCAGCACAGACAGCAGAGGAAGGATCCAAAGCACCAGAGGGACCAAGATCAGAGATAATATATTCCTTCAAATGGATAGCCAGCAATCAAGACAAGATGGTGCTCCAGCCATGGGCGCTTGCGCTACACCTCTCCTTCCTCCCTCAGATCCTAGTGTTCAACCCCAAACTTCTCCTTTCCCTCGATCTAGACATTCTGTCATTAGTTCCTCATCTGTTATGAGCAGTCTGACCAGCATTTCCACACCAGAAACACCTCTGCAAGAAAGACCCTCCAGAGCCGAGGACAAAGTAAATGTCGACAGAGCTGCCCTGGCTCAAAAGTTCTCGGTAACCAGAAGTTTGTTTGAAAACAAGATGATGGAGAGTGGAGGTACTAACAGGCAGGTTTCAAAACCCATAACTGTTAGGGGGAGCAAAGGGGCTCCAGATGAGATAGAGGAAGTAGAAAAAGGGGAGGAGACAAGCGGAAAAAGGAAGCACACTGAAGGGGATGGGTTAGATAAAGACAAATCCATAAACCGCATGATGGATGTTTCCTCGTTGGAGCCTCATGTAGGCACACTGACAAGGTGCTCTAAATCTCCAGCACTGGATTGCCCCAGGGAGATGCCTAACAAATCTACTTCATCTCATGACAACCATGATAAAACCACAGTGTCACAAACAGACAAAGACATGGGCGAAAAATCAATCGTTAACCCTTGCTCAACTCCTGAGGCAACACTTAGGGCAGAAATAGTTAGCATCAAGAATGAGTCCTCAGAAAGTGATGAAAATGAAGAGGAGAGGGTGTGGAAGGACAGCAAGTACTGGCTTAAAAGTGATAAGCATCAATACAAAGCTGCTGAGGAAAGTGAAGATACTCTAGAGGATGATGTCTTTGAGGAGACAACTGTCGAAACGGCATCTGTACCTGTTTGTCCCCTGGGAAACTATTTGAACTTAAAAGCAGAGGAAGATGGGTCAGTCACTTCCACAGAGCACCAGAAGGAGCTTTCAGAAGACAAGCTATGCAGAACGATAATTCAGGATGGTGGGGAACGTAGCAGAGACAAGCACCAGCATGTGAAAGAACAATGGGAGGGTAAAAAGGAGGAGCAGTACAGGCAATTCACTGCTCAAGCTGAGAAGTCAACAGAAGAAAAATTCAACGGGAAAACAGACACTGGTCCGCAAGAAAGTGTTGGAGTGGCAGAGAGCGTTATGATGCAAGGTGAGGGAAAGACTGAAAGTGAAGGAGAATCCAGCGAAAGTCAATGGAAGGGAAGAACAGAGGAGAGAGGTATGGAAAAGGAAGGGACAACATATTTGCTGAAAGAAGAGCGCAGACCTGAGGAGGTCAAACATGTGGCATGTGGAATAGATAAAGGAAAGGGTGATGTAGAAGAAGCTGCAGTTATCCGTGGGATTGAAAACAAGGCTTTTGTGTATGATCAGGAATCTCAGTCAAATTTGGAAATCTCAGCATCCCTAAGACAGACACAGGAGAGCTCTATGCATGGAGACAACCAGCTTGTTTATGAGGAAATTCCTGGTGTTCCAGACCTGGACCTTCAGGAGGATGAAGAAGCCCTTGAGGCTGCAAAGAGGAAGGTCAGCTTCTCCACAGCACCAATAAAGGTAAGGCTGTGTGTTATTTAATCCTTCAGCTACAGTACAGCTCTGTTGTCATATTTATGCTTTATTGTTCAAGCTCTTCATTTCACATTTGCGTCACTGTTGGTTGCGGCAGCTGTTTGAATTCATGTCAGAGAAGTTAGCCCAAAGCCATATTTCTAACGCATAAGGGGATGTTGGAAAGCAAGATTGGACATGCTTGACTTTGTCTGAAAGGAGATAAATAATCAAATGTGTGCATTTGGTGGGATTCTGGATCACAGCAAACAGTTGTAGTAGCAGCCAGCATGGTAATATTGCAAGAAATTTGTGTGTGGACACTTGAGGTTTTTATCAGTTTCATAATTATGCTCGTACCTTATGCTCTCTGTAAGACTTTACACTTCCTGCATCCCTCGTGTCTCACACTCCCATTGACAGATTTTCAGGCAGAAACAGTTTCTTGTAGTGTCAAGTTCAGCAGATGGTTCTGTTTACAGTTGGCTCTTATTAGATATGAATGGTTACTACAACATTATCAGCAGGCTAAATTTTGTAGTCAGTGTTTATCTAAGATGATGCCAGCAGAGGGACTTTCACAATGAATGATGTCTTTCAGGTGTACAGTACCTATTCTAATGCAGAATATGACCGTCACAACGAAGACATCGACCCAGTGTCCGCCTCAGCAGAGTTTGAGCTGGAAAAGAGGGTGGACAGGATGGATGTGATTGCTGTTGAAATAAAAAAGGGTTTGTATATTATGCCTGGTTCACTTCTCATTTCTGATTATTTTTAAGTCTGCCTGCCTGAATTCCAGGCTCTAATGCCTAATCCAAAAATGAAGCATTTAAGCTTCCGGTCTTGTCTATCAACCCCCAACTGGTAGAGGCAGATGGCCACTCCTTACCGAGTCTTTCGGGAAGTTTTTTTCCCTTTAAAACAGAGTTTACCTCTTGTGCATGCTCACAGTAGAGTGTGCGAATGAAGAGACGACTCTGTGATCTATTGGTTTACTTTAGCTGGGGAGATTTGTGTGGAATGGTTATGTTGGACAAATATTGAGATAAATTCATTAGACTTGAGAATAAATGAGACCTTACCTTTCCTAAAGTGTCCCTAAGATTACTTTAGCTGTGAGCAGGTGATGTTAGAATTAAACCAAGTAGCATTTGAATGGACCACATCGCTTACATTAGCAGTAAACATTGTAAATAACATGATAAATCCTAATGTCTTAACTATCTGTTCCCTTTCCCTTCGACTAGCTGAGGATGGACTTGGAATCAGTATAATTGGAATGGGTGTTGGAGCTGATCAGGGACTGGAAAAACTGGGAATCTTTGTCAAGACCATCACTGAAGGAGGGGCAACACATAGGGATGGACGGTATGCCTCAGCATTCATTTCACATTTGCACAGGAATGTTAAATATATTAATTGTACCAACCTGACTGTTCTCTCAATGTCTTCACATGTTAGGATTCAAGTAAATGACCAGATAGTGGAGGTGGATGGTGTGAGTCTGGTTGGAGTGTCTCAGCTATTTGCTGCTACAGTCCTTAAGAATACATCAGGCCTTGTCAAGTATGTAACTTTGAGGTGTCAGTGCTCAAGCTTTTTGCTTTTTCAGGCAGTAGAAGAATTGTCTTGTTTTTATAGACAATGGTTCTTTTCATGTTCCATATAATGAGCTTTGAATGCTTCTATAAAAAACTTCTATAAACGCTTCAATAAAGTTGCAGCAGATAGCTGCAACTTTGGAAGCATGGCTGATCACAATGCAATATTTCCCTTATTGTTTGATGTTTCACTCCTAAAAACTGTCAAAGATTAATAGCAGTGCCTTGTAAGACTTTGAACAGTTTGGCACAGAAGACAAGTTATTTAAAGATCAGAAGGGGGTGTAAATAAAACTATTCCACCCTCTTCTATCCCAGATCTTTTCTAAAAATAACATAGAAATCTTTTTTTTTTACTTAACACAAACAGCCATGTACATAGAGGAGGGACAAAGAAAAGATCAGCTCCTCCTGGGCAGTGCATTGTAATAAAATGGTTTTGCTTCAGTTGACCTATTTCAGGGGTGGTCCTGCAAATAAAACCCAAAAAGAATCTATTCACAGTGAGCTCCTTTATCCTACAGTCAAATAGGATTAGAATTCCCTTTGGAACAACATTCTGGAGTCTACCCAGTCGTACATCTAGATTATTGATGAAAATCGAAACCTTTAGTGGGCTCAAATCAGTGCCCCAAATGACAGGTTTTAATGCCTTCTAATATAAAAATTACCCCCCCCCCCCCCCCCCCCCTTATCCCACTTATTAAATGTAGGTTAATTGTTCATTTTTACATCAGGGAATCCATCAATCTTGGTGTCACACACCAATGTGAATCAGTCACATTGTAATCATTATTCTGTTGCAGTAGACTATTACATTTCACTGTTTCTAGCAGAGTTGATAGTGTATACGTGTACTCAAAATCAGTTTACACCAAGATACATTTTTAACATCAGATAACAGTCTTCTTCAAAGGAGATACCAATCCTCTTAAGCTTTTTCTGTGTCACAGACATGAAGACAGCTAGGAGGCTCTTACTAAATGGGTTTGCCTGTACAGTTTTTCAACAAAAACATTTGAGAATAGGACACTTTCTCTTCAATGTACCAAATGTAAATTGTTTTATATTGCAGTCCCTTTGCCTTCGCAAAACATGTTTCAAAGGACATTTTATGCAAGTGTTTAAAAAAATATGTTGGATAAATCCCATTAAGTTGCTTAATTTAGTTTTTTTCCTCCCAATTCTCATCACACGCCTCAACTTGTCACCATATTGACTTCAGTTGTATTTGTGCTCCTGAATTTTTAAGTTTTGATTTAGATGTCTGCCTCTAAACATCAGGTTCATGCTGGCTTTTATCTGAATCATTATTTGATCATTAACATAATTCGCAACACTTGTGCTTCACATTCAGACAAGTCAGAATTCCCACTGTGCATGAAACCTGCCTGAGTGTGATAAGAATGGGGTGATTGCTCACAGCTGGGACAGATTTGTGTCTTTTAATGCAGGTTTTTGATTGGTCGAGAGAAAGAGGGCGTCGAGAGTGAGGTGGCACGGCTGATCAACGAGAGTCTGGAAATGGATAAAACAAAAACCAGAAACGTATGTCATCCTACAGCGCATGTGTCACTGAATCATCTCAGGAAAGAAAATATTGGTGTGGTTTTAGTGCTCTATTCTTTTGTATTTTTTGTAAATGAAGAGAGAAAGCAGAAGCAGTGTGGACGAGGACAATGAGGATAACATGTCAGAGAGGGGTTCAGTCACTGAAGAAGAAAAAGAGGAGGAGGGGGAAGAGGAGGAGGAGGATGTGTCTCTTTTGTCCAATCTGGACGGCTACCAGCTCTGTCTCAAATACCAGCAGGTACTCCATCTTAAGAGCACATATGTACACTGCCAGAGGGTTTTTAAAAATAAAAAAAAAAGCTAACTATTCCGCTGTATCATTTTAAGTCTTTCAGCTGAAATTGTGCACCAAAACTCAACCATGTACGTGTCTCTCCTTCCATTAACTGCGTTCATAGCTTCAGTCAAAACTACGGAGCAAAACAACCCAACTTCAACATACAAAGGTGAAGGTAGGTCACACAGTTGAGCCGGAAATTCCACAAATACTAGAAACTGTGCTCACTTTGATAAACTGCCTTTGTTTTCCAAATTTGGAAACATTCTGACCCATTTAACTGTATGAGATGGCTCATGTTGAGTTATTAGGACATGGGCCTGGCTTCAGCTCTCCTCCACGTCAGCTCTGCTTTCCTGCCTTTGCTTTGATGTAATGTCCACAGTGACTTAACTTGGCTCGCAATTGCCTCCAAAGGAACCTGGCTGTTATCACTCAATCTGTGTCAAACTCTCAAAATGCTTAATTTTCTTGTATCAAAATGATTTTCTTGACACAATTCTGCTTTTGTGAACAAATAATCCTTTTGTTGTTGCTCTGCCAGTTAAAGGCTTTGGAGGAGCAGCAGGCCTGTTGGGAGAGCCAGAGAGCTGAGTTGGAGCAGAGAGCAGAGGATGGAGAGGAGAAAGCTGACAAAGTAGAGAAGTACGTTGGAAAAGACTCTATGCTTTCTCCCTATCTCTAGATATGTATGTATGTGTGTGTGTGTGTATTTTTCTTTTTTGTCTGTCAGAACTGGAGAAGTTTAAAGACTGTAGTCAACAGAATGAAGATACTGTTTTTAAATGAGGTGTTTGTAAAAACTGCTTTGATTGTCAGATACTGGCAGGAAGCCCAGACATTGTGCAGAGTTGTGAGCCAGCGTCTAGCTGATGCCCAGAGCCAAACAGAAAGCCTGGAGATCAAATACAGCAAGGCCAAGAGACTGGTCAGAGAATACCAGAGCAGGTATTTATGGAATCTGTTGCAGTTTACAGCCTTGACTGTATTTTTCAAGCTTGTGAAACAATACAAGGGTATTTCCTTTGCATTTAACCTTTCAAAAATCTTTCAGAGAAGAGGAGAGGGAGAAAAGAGAAGCAGATTTGAGGAGAGAAATGGAGGAGAGAGAAAAACAACACAGAGAAATTCTTGAAAGACTGCAAATCCAGGTGAGACTTTTTAATCCTGCATGGGTGTATGTTACATATTCTGCTGCCTGTCTTTATTTCACTGTTTATTGCAAATGGCACAGCGAAAAGAGTCCGATCCAGAGGGAAAGAATCCATCTGCAGACTCCTCAGTCACAGGTAAATGTTTGGATTTTTCAGGTGCTTCTGCCTGTTTTGAAGTTTTTTTTTTTTTTTTTTTTTTTGTTTTTGTGTAACAATGTGTGTGCATATGTATTACGCACACACAATTCATTAGAAGGGATCCAGCAGTGAATGCTATTTGAAAATGTTCAAACCTCTTGAATAAAGCAATCTTTGTCAGACTGGTATATTCCAGTGCCTGATACAGGACGACTAGACTCGAGTGCTCATATAGCTAGAGCTCAGCTGGCTCAAAAGTCTAAGCGGAATCCACCTTCGCGGGACAAACTCCGAGAGAGCTTCAGAAAACAGGTAAGACATGTTAGAAAAGACAGAGACATTGAACTTGCCATTTCCATCCTGCCCTCATGTCTTGTGTTGCAGCAGGAAGAAGCTGCTGCCTTAAAACCCCTGGAGAGCCGATCGCTGCCTGTTATCACAGCAGCCCAGAACAGCAGAAGTGACCTGTCCAGCACTACTTCGTTCTTTGCCCTCAGTCCACAACCTCCCACTTGCTCCCTCCTCACGCCTTCCATTTTCATCACAGACATCATCACACCCTCGCCATGCAAATCCTCAGCATCCCGAAAATCTAAACGGAAGTTTCCTGACTTCAGGTGGAGGATGTTTTATTTTTGGAACTTGAGGCCTTTTCCTGATTGTTCACTTAATGTTAACGTAATATTTTCTATGGGAGGCATATTACAGGTGACATACTCCTATTTTCTTTTTTTTTACAAATTCATTTAAATAACTTTCATTCTTTTTAGTGGCCTCCGCAAGTCTCTCAGTAAGAAGAGGAGTGAGAAACGGAGCAGAAGTTCAATGAGCAGCAGGTAGATGTCGCTCATGCACAAAGTGAATGCAACTAAGTCCTACGCTTTAAAAAAACAAAGCCTTAGCATATTATGTTCTTGATGTGGTGTTGAGGACTCCTAATTCTTTTCTTTGTGTGCATGTGGATTTAGTTATTTCTTGCATTCTACTATTCCTGGCATCCTCATTTGATATTTTGGGGAAATACTCTCCCAATCATAAACTCAAAACTGTTTCCAGGGGATCATGTGGCGACTTGGTAGACGAGCCCACAGAAGTGTCTCCATCGGGCTCAGTCACCTCTATGCCCTCCTGCCTGCCCTTTCCCTGGTTTGGAGAGAGGGGGAGAGAAAAAGAAGAGGAAGGGAAGAGTGGCCGGGAGAGGTTGCGCTCTGTGTCCAGCAGCAGTTTGCCTTACCTAACCACAACTGGCAGAAGAGCTCAGGTTTGAAAACTTCTTGTTCACATAATGCTTTCCAGTCTAGTACTTGAATGGGGAAGCATATGGCAGGTATGATGTGTGTAGGCAGCCCAGGATTCTTTCTGTTGGTTCCAGAGTATTGGCTCTCCGGTGAGAAGCACCATCATGGTGGGCCATGTCTCTGATCACTCCCTTTCTGGGCACTCTCATTCTTGTACATTTTCTTCCACTGAGGTTAGTCTGTCCTTTTCTGTTTTCCCTTTTTTTTGGACTCCCCTCTTTCACCTTGTACCAGTATTTCCCCCAAAAAAATGTCTGAAGGTTTGCTCTTCTTTAGTCACAGCTTCTATTATCTTTCTTTCTCTTGCATTCGCTCAGACTCTGGACGATTACCCTGCTCCCAACAATAATAACGATTTGTGGCAAAGTCGACCGGTCTCGGAATGGAACAACCAGCAGGTGTGTCTGTGGTTAAGCGCCATGAACATGGATCAGTACATATCAGAGTTTGCTGCCAAAGGAATAAATGGGACACAGCTGCTCAGCATGGACAGTCAGAAGCTCAAGGTGAGTCAAATAGTTGAAATACTGAAGCTCAGTGTAAACTTGTCATATTGCTTTTATAATGGTGCTGATACTTCAGATAATGTTTGTAATTACAAATAACTTTATATTGTAAAGTCATTAGAAGTTGGTCTCAAAACCTATTTTTCCATAACTGTATCCATGTATTATTGTACTTGATGAATGGATATTAGCCCTAGAGGAATGTGTAATCCACACATATATTTTCAGTGTTTTCTCATTAAACTGTCTGAAATTGTCACATTTCTCCCTCAGGCCCTTGGTGTGACCAGTCAAAGTGACCGATCTGCCCTGAAAAAGAAGCTGAGGGACATGAAAAGAGAGGAGAAAAAACAAGGGAAACTAAATGCAGAAAAGGAAGGCGAAGGTAAAGACAAGGCCAAAATAATCACGGAGGAAAATTCTGTAATGGACATAGCACGCAGTGGCAGAACCATACGAACTGAATCGCTCTTATAAAGGGAGGCGGAAGAGTTACCACCAGCAGAAAGGCGTTTGCCATTTTGCACACACAGTTAAACTCAATCCTTGTTCTGTTAAACCAGTAGAAAGCCCAGATGTATTCCAGAAATGTTTTTGTCTTATAGGAATAGATATTTAAGATGGACTTGGTCAGGATTAAAAGGATCTTCAATCCTGAGGTTAATTCCAGCACCAAAAACACTCAAGTTATTGCAATTCATTGTTTCCTGTCCTTCTGTGAAGTTTTTAATCATGATGGAATAATATCTTTTTAATAAATTGTGTGATTATTACTGCACTCAGATATTTACTAAAATGCATTTTATGTGTTAATAAATAATGTTTGAAACATCTTGTTTTCTATCATTTCCTTAAACAAAGTACACGTGATATTTAGAAAAACATTTATTCCAAAAAAGGCTTTATGGGCACTCTCCATTATGCAGCCTTTTGCTCTGGCTTGAAAGTAAACTTACAAGGAACATTCTCTGCATTTACAGAAATGACACAAATCTGATGCACCTTGAGTGAAGGTAAAATATAGGAAAATGGTTGAACTGTTAAAGCAGTGTTTAAAAGATGCAATCTTAAATTATTTATACTAGCATTTCAGTTAAGTCCCCTGTGTGTGCATGACCTGACTGCAGCCTACTAACAAAATATTCAGGCATGAATAAATACGATTCAGAACACTGAAATGAATAACTTTCTACTTACAAAACCCCTCCCCAAACTCAAACTAAATGCACAAACAAAGCTCCAAAAACCTTGCAGGCAGCAGCTGTGCACAGCCATCTCCAAACCTCCTTCAAATATGATACAGGCCTTAAGAACAGAATTCCTGATCCAGTATTATTTCTTAATTAAGGTTATTTAAATTGCATGTGGTATTAAAAATCCTGTTTAAGGTACATAAGCATAAATTGTTCATCGATAAGAAATGTGATAAGGTGCAGTCAGATTTCATTGGCTGTTAAGAATGGTGTTCCCGGTCGTGCCATGTTGTCATCCATGGCTTCTTTTCCAGGTTGTTCCAGTTACTATTTCCAGCAATTATCGCTCTCTCCTCACGTGTGATCCGAACTGCATTGTAACTGGGTACCTTGTCTTCATATTTGTCACGCTTAAAAAAGCCACACTGCAAAGGGGAATAAAAAAAATATCCATCAGTGTCACAGGTGCCAAAATGCAATTAATTCACTGAGAGGTGTAGACAAGCCATCTGTGGAGAAAGGAAGCATTTGTATGCCCTGTTTTCAAATGTAAAGAGAAGAAAACAACCTCAACATCAAGTAGCTTTGTGTGCAGTAGTATCGATATATACTGGAAACAAGAGACCGATGACAAGCAGCTTAGCCCCCAAAGTATTTCTCAAAGCAGGAAATAATGCTGCGTTGCTCCGTAAGCCATCAACTCCACCAGCCATGCAAGTACAATTGTAATCATACACAGAGAAATGTGTAGTAATCCTTTAGACTTTATGCTTTTGCCGAGATAATAATTCAGCTTCTACAAAAGCATTTTTCAAGGTGTGAGAGTTGCCCACTGCCTGCCGAATACCAGAAAGCAGTCCTCTTGTAGCAAGTAGGAGAAAAAAGAGAAAGTGCCAATCATGAGAAGCCCGGTCATTTTACCCGCTCTTTTTTATGCATTTGATGTCAGCTTCTCTTTTTCTGATGTGTCCTCTTTATTCTTTTTCCCAAAGACTCCACACTGAGGAAAGGAGAATCATTAGAAAATGTCTGTGATAAAAATGGCGTAAACCATAGGCCGCTTGGTATATGGTGTTTAAAGGCAGCTGGATGTTTGAAAAACATCAAAGCTTTTTCCACTGAAAACCCTGCAAAAAGTGTTTAATGTAAAAGTTATCATTTGCTGGAATATGCCTCTGCTGGTCTTTATCTCATCAGTCCTACCTTCCAGAGGAGAAAAGCCAGCAAAGCCAACAACAGTAGCCCAAACAGGACGGACAGCACGATGATCCACCATGGCACTCCCCCAAACCGAGCCTCACGCCTCTCTGGGTATGCAGACAGTCTCACCTGCAAATTGTAAGTGATTAGTTCTGTCCTGTAAATTTACAAACATTTTTTAATTTCATCATCTCATGCTTTAAGTTTTTGACACATTTAGAGAGTGGCTATTTAGTTATTTTAGCTCCTTGGCAAAACAGTTAAATCAATAGTACAGCGGGTTCATTTAATTAGTCTGTTTTCCAATCTAAAGAATCAAACTAAATAATCTAAACTAAATAACTAAATAATCAACTTCCTTTGTTTGTCTATAGTTTTTGGAGGCTTGAATAAAATCTGATGGTTGGTGTGAACAGGTTTTCATCCACCAGAATGGTGT